GTAGTCACCGGGTGGTAGCGGTGAAATATCCTGCTCGGACGGAAAGCGAGAGCTCGCCTTTCTCCTCATTGCTCGCTTCAAGATATGAAAGAAAATGCGTTTCTCTATTTTTCGTTTTGCCGTGCCTGTATACCGTGTTGCGTGTCCATCTTCTCTTTACACGTATACACACCCACCAGGGAGTCGACAGATGAAGAACGCCCCCCCCCCCCCCCCCATTTTATTTGTTTTCGCTTTTTTTTCCTCGACCGGACGGCCTGACAGCGTCTCGCGGGGCGCTCTTCCATCAAAGCTTTTCACGGGGCGCATATCAACGGCAGCGGCGGCTTCGGGCTTTTCTTGTCCACGCTCGCCGCCTGTCGGCCAAAAGAAGCGCGAAATACAATAGACTCCGGTTGGGTACGTTTTTCAGCGTCGAATTATAGCTGGTCAATTTGCGCTGCGCATCCTTCTTTCTGCGGTGGAAAGATCTGGAGGACTTGAGTTTGGCCTAGTCGGTGATTACTGTTCGACATCTTGACCGCACAAAACAGACCAGGACAAAGGGAGGTACGACGGAATTTACCGCCCGTGTTGTATGCCTCCTTCAGTCTTCTTCGTCTTTTTTGTGCTGTTAAGAGGTCCAACAGTAGAAAGATTGCCTTCTGGTGACCTATTCGCCGAAATAGACCTATTCCATGTTTGCAAACAGCGGTACGGGCAGTTGGCATGCCGATGCTTGTGGCGACGTCGCGAGGCGTAGGCTCCGCCCAACCCAAAGCTCGCCACTGGCCTTTATGATCACGTCGCAGCAGCTGCAAATCTGCCTCCGAGTACAGCACGTCCCGCGTGAACACGCGGCTGCAACCTGCCGCGGGACAATGTTCCCATTTCTTGCACAAGGTTGGGGAGACTGTAAGCGAAATATTTTGGAAGCCGCGGCCCCTTCGCAAGCGTCATCTCCGAACGCCAGGGCCGTACCAAGATTTTTTTTAAAAGGGGGAAGTAAAAAATTCATCAACACTCCCTCACCGCCCCTGTTTACGATCATTGTACACGCGCTGCCACTACCTCTTTTGAAACAAAGACACATGTACTGAAGTGTCGTGTCTGTTTCCTCGAGCTACAAATCGGAAAATCCGCTATTCCTATACGGAAGCGCGACATAGGCAACGATGGAAGGGAGGAAGTTTGTCGTGTAAGTGATTGCGCCTCCGGCGCTGCTGTTGCAGTCACTGTGCTGCACTGTGTGGGTGGTGGTAGTGGTTAGAAGAGGAAGAAGGCGCCTAATTTCTGCAGCCCGGTAGGGAGCGCGGCGCAGCGCCTGACTTGGCGCTCAGGGCGGCGTGCTCCACGTGTGAAAGCTCGCAGAGTATCCTGTGGGAGGGAGGATAAGGGGCCTTGCCGTCCAGTGGGGTGAGAGGATCGAGGCGCGTAGGCTTTCACGAAAATGAAAGAGCTAAGAAGATGAAAAAAAAAAAGTATACTGGAAGGGCTGTGTCAGTTCCCTCGGCAGTGTAGATGCGATGCATGCATCCCGGCCGCACGCTCTTGCCGCTTCTGCATTCGACGTCCTCAATTTCGCCCGTGCCTGTGCGGTGACAGTTCGCCGAAAGAATCTAGAGAGCAGGGGGTTCAAAGGGAGGCAGAAGTGGGAGTTTGATGCCAACCCCTTCAGGGCCTTCTCTATGAGCCAGTGTAGCCCCGCCATACAGACGCTTGGTTGGCGGCGGCGCCTAATCAAGCAGCCCGGCTGTCAGGAGGGAAGAAGGGGGGATGTAGCCAGTGCGGCGCCGGGACGACCGCCGGCGGAGCTTGGTTGGATACAATGTTTCTTTTTCTCCTCTCCGGGGATTATAGCCCGCTGCGTCGGGCCGCTCGCGGGAAATCGATGGCTTACAGCGTCGAACTGATTGAGCAGATCGCCGAGCTGTCGGCCGCTTCGCATCACCGATTCAGTGCATGCAGCGCCGCTCGAAGCTGAAGGCATATTATCGTGATGCGCCTCTCGCCCAATCACGCGAGCTGCCGCTTATACCGCGCCTCCCCCGTTCGTTGTTCTCTCGCGTGTTTGAATTTTTTTCGTTACTCGCTCTTTCTACGGCTTCGATACGCGAGTCCGAGAAGCCAGTTCGCCAGTGAGAAAGATGATGGAGTGGGCTGTGAAAAAGGACCTCGAGTTTCCATTTTGTTTGGCGTTGTTCTTTTTTATTTATTTAATACGCGTCAAGTTGTGCAAATCCTCGTTCACGCGTAGCACAACAATATTGCGTTCACTGCCGTTGCTCTGGTTATGTACGTGGTTAGGTAGTAACACGTGGTATCGTGGTTTTTCGCTGTCTTATCAGCATTCAAACTTTGCTTACAAGTAGCGCCGCATGATTTAAGCACATTCGTTCGGTATATATCTAATTATCTCGATGTTGTCGAACCCGTGTGCAGCTATATCTGCTGTTATCTCAAATTTACACTCGCTGATACACCATATATATATATATATATATATATATATATATATATATATATATATATATATATATATATATATATATATATATATATATATATATATATATATATATATGCCAAAACTGACAGAATAGGTAATACGTAGCTACTGCATAAAAGTTCGAAAGCGGATGCCGCATGCACGTAGAAACTTTCTTTTTAATTTTTTGTGCGAATGTGACTATAGCGACGCATGAAACAGTAGTCTGACTGTCATGTGGCGCCACAGCTGTCTTTTGCCATCGTGGAAGTCCATGGAAAAAAGCCGCTAGCGTTAGCATCCCGGTGGATCACATCTTTCCTGCTGCGAGGTGTGGAACTGTCTTGAAAAATTGTAATGGCGAACGCTTAAGAGACGCCCCGCCGCGGTGGTCTAGTGGCTAAGGTACTCGGCTGCTGACCCGCAGGTCGCGGGTTCGATTCCCGGCTGCGGCGGCTGCATTTCCGATGGAGGCGGAAATGTTGTAGGCCCGTGCGTTCAGATTTGTGTGCACGTTAAAGAACCCCAGGTGGTCCAAGTTTCCGGAGCCCTCCACTACGGCGTCTCTCATAATGATATGGTGGTTTTGGGACGTTAAACCCCACAAATCAATCAATCAATCAATCAACGCTTAAGAGACGCGAAGCCAGGCTGTAACGTCCTTGAAAACTGTACATGCGCGTGCTGGAAAGTGTCAAGTGTGGGTGGCACGTACGCTTCAGACCTATAAGGAGGATTTGTGAAAGCTGGCTTCACCGCTGTAGAACGCGGTACCAGGAGAAGCCTGCTACACTGTACGTGCCCCTGCATGCGCCCGAACTAAGTGAGCCTTACTGCAGCAACAGGATACTCGTTAGGTTTTTTTTTTTTCTCTCTTGAGATGCGTACCTTGATAGCACATATCTATTATTATTATTATTATTATTATTATTATTATTATTATTATTATTATTATTGAACGTGATAGCGCGAATGCTACTTAACTGCGTCGTCTGTTCATTTGGTGATTGCTGCAGCTCCCTCTAACTGAGCTGTATCCCTCTGAATTTAGGAGGTTCACACGTATCCGTGTGGCTAATCTAAATAGCTACATTTTCCCCAGTGTTTTTAAGTGCGCAGCACTTAAAAGAAGTACCGGAAAGAAGGCTGAGCAGTGCTCAACACTGGCGGAGAACAAATGACCTAAGTATAAAGTAATATAAGAGTCGGAAACAAGGAAGTATCAGTCGCAGTGATCGAGTCGCGAAAAACGCATCTGAAACATCGCGGCCTCCGAGATGAGCAACGTCGCGCCGCCGGCTGATCTCCGAGGCCATGGAAACATCCGACCGATACGCCGCGGAAGAGAGGGCGGCACCGCCTCGACGAGCGTGCCTAGGGAATTGCTGGATTTCCCGAGCTACGCACTTCCTTGGGTTTCACAGTGGTCGCGATGTAGAACAAAACAAGGAAAGGAACGCCATTGTAGCGGAGTATATATTTTTATTCTCTCTCTCACTCGTCATGGGTGAGCTGGGCCTGCCCATTTCGATTTCCTGTAGAGCAAAGCACGGTCTTCGCTCGGCTTTTACGACCATTCCGTGGGGCGGCGACCGTCGAATATGTCGGGGCAGCGCGTTTGATGGACAAGCGGCCGCAGCAGTGTCCTTCACCAGGCGCCGTCCGTTTTATGCACAGCGCGCAGCAACGGCCCCGGACGGCTCAGATTGGCTTTACTCCGGAGGCCACCGCGCTGATGTCGCGGATTTAGCGCTGGCTCCCAGATCATCCCGCATTCGAAATCGGACGTTGCTTTGCTGCTGCGGCCGCGCGTGCTGTCCCGTTGCAACTGAGTAGCGTCTGGGCGGAGCCGTCGCGATTGCAGCTCCCGCTTTTCCGAGCCAGACATTTTCGGCTCCCGCGTGCGGTAATGCGACGCGTTCTCCTTCGTGCCCTAGGTAGTTTGCTTTTTGTCTGCACTACCTTACCTTAGTGGTAGTGCAGACAGAAAGTGTGTGTGTGTGTGCGCGTGTGCGTGCGTGCGTGTGTGTGTGTTTACTGTGGTGTCCGGTACACATATAGTCAAGAAATAAAGGAGCACACTTTAAAAAATTAGATATTTTTTTCACTTCTTTTACGTTTCGACCGTGGCAAGACCTTTGCCAGATGACACACACACACACACACAGACAGAGAGAGAGAGAGAGAGATGGCACGCACGAATTGTTTTGTGGTTATGCAAGCTGCTGTTTTTCTGTAGCAAGTACAGCAAGGTCGGGGATCATCTTTTTGATTTTTTTTTTACCCTTTTTGCCTGTCATTGTGTTTGACTCGTATAATGCTGATATTCCCGTGGTCAGCTGGACATTTGCTAAAGTTTGTTCGGCCCCGAAAATTAAATTTCAGGAAAATGGTATTGTAAGCAATTATTTCCTCGATGGTGTTTGATTGTCCACAAAATAGCCTAGAGAGGAAAATCTCGTATTTTCGGTGACCGGTGGCCATGTAATATGCTTCTGTACTCACCGCTTTTCTTTCTCCCTGTTTCCTGCAGAGGGCCAGTGCATTCCGAGGGGCATCAATTTCACTCGCCCGTCTGGTGCAAAACTGGTAGCGGTGAAAGGTGAGCCCCTCCTGCTGGACTGTTCCGTGTCGGTGCTGCCGGAGCTGGCTCCATACAACATCACCTGGAATCACAATGTGAGTTCACTCCATCATTACCCTTTCATGCTGGAAAAAACTCACATAGAAAAAAAGTAAGACATAAAGGAAGGCAGGGTAAAAACAAACATAGTGAAAATGATTGTGCATTGTTAAAATACAATAATTATATATATATATATATATATATATATATATATATATATATATATATATAGACAGAGAGAGAGAGAGAGAGGAGAGGAGAGATATCGATATATCTTCTCGTGAACAAAAGTGAGCAGATTATGTTGTTATTGAAATTAAAAAGAAGTACAGTTGGACGAGACATAGAATACACATTTGAGTGGTTTGTTAAAGGATCATAACAGGTGTTAAGGGCAGCAAGGTGCTGTTCAGGGTAATAGAAGATAAGATAAGGTAAAGTGATAAAAATGGGATAAAATAAAGATAGCAGATCATGTATGTTTGTACTATGCAGAAACAAATGAACTGAAACAATATTCTGTTATTTTTGGGCACTGTTTTAAAATATCAAGAATTCAAGGGGGTTATGGGCATTTTCATGCATTTGTGTCTCTGTCATGCTTGTGCTTCATTGGCTCACTTTGGGTGTTCAGGTGCCTTAGGTGACAGTGGAGCATACTCCACTCGCAGTGTAAACTTGTCACTCAGTGTAACTCACATTTACTAGTTATCGCTTGGCATCTTCTATACATGATGGTGGACATATGCTTAATGACACCTAAATTAAGTTTGGAAAATGAATAGATTGCTTTGGTTGCCTTTTTGTGTGAAGCAATTTTTGCTATGACCACCGCGGCAATTATGCCGCGGTGGTCTAGTGGCTAAGGTACTCGGCTGCTGACCCGCACGTCGCGGGTTCGATTCCCGGCTGCGGCGGCTGCATTTCCGATGGAGGCGGAAATGTTGTAGGCCCGTGTGCTCAGATTTGGGTGCACGTTAAAGAACCCCAGGTGGTCAAAATTTCCGGAGCCCTCCACTACGGCGTCTCTCATAATCATATGGTGGTTTTGGGACGTTAAACCCCACATATCAATCAATCAATCTATGAGATACTCCAAAGAATTAAACTGTTAATTCATGGCTTGTTAGAACAATCCTTGAGTTCCAGAAGTTATCACATCTGAGTACTTGATCCAATTGTCTTGATCAAGCACGATGTATGATATAGCATATCTTTAATCATCGCACTTTGTAGTAGTCAGTATACAAGAATTTATTTTAGCTAAAACACCTCTTCATAGACTATATATAGACTTCAAAGGTATGAGCCTGAAAGCCAAAATCATCAGAGCACGCAACAGTATACTGTGATGGCCACTGATATGAACAAAGTTGTTTGTGCATCATGGAAATCAGTTGTCATTATGGCAGAAAAGAGCCCCCCCCCCCCCCATCGCAAATGCCTTTTTGAACAACAATGTACAGAATTACAATGGCAGCCACTGCCAGTCCGATATGTCATAGTATATGCAGAAAATTGGAGCACATTTTGATTCCACCTGTCTACAGAGTATCTATTGTATTTCAACATTATGAACAGGCATACTAGTTCATCTATGGGTAGCAGCAGAACAAATTCAGAGCTGTAAGATTGTGCTTTTGTTCTCACATGGCTATTATTATGTATTGATTTATTATTATTATTTTCAGGGAAAGCCATTGGACTGGAGCGCCACAGAACACACTGTGCTGTCGAATGGTTCCCTGTTCATCGAGCAGTTTTCCTTCCAGAAGAAGAAGAGTGGCCGCAAGGACAATGGCACTTACACTTGCATGGTGCACACAAAGGCTGGCACCATGTTCAGCCGCCCAGTTCAAGTTGAACTAGCACGTAAGCTGATTTTTCTGAATGCTGCTAGGTCTACACATCGCCCCGCCGTGGTGGTCTAGTGGCCGAGGCACTCGGCTGCTGACCCGCAGGTTGGGGGATCATGTCCCGGCTGTGGCGGTTGCATTTTCTACGGAGGCGAAAATACTGCAGGCTTGTGTTCTCAGATTTTGGTGCACGTTAAAAAACCCCAGGTGGTCGAAATTTTCAAGGCCCTGTACAACGGCATCTCTCGTAATCATATGGTGGTTTTGGGACGTCAAACCCCACATATTAATCAAGCTACACATGCCTCATGCTGCAGAAACCCTGCAAATGCAAATGACGGTTTTACTGCTAAAAGAAAGTAAAGTAATGTTTCATCTCCAAGATTGGCCACAGCATTAGTGGAATAAATTATGTGGGGGTCAGGGGGAGGGTCCCCACCCTTCCCTGTGTTTAGGTTGGGGGGGGGGGGGGGACACCCCTGGCGAGTATCCACCCCGCTACCCTTCAAAGACCACTTGCGAATTGGGAGTAGCGATTTTTATTCGAAAGGAACTGTAGAACACAAGCTTTATGAAATGTTATGGGTTACCTCTGACATGCTGCAAATGCTTAATATGCTTAGCTTTAAAATGCAAAGTTTATGTAGAAAATCTCTATCATTTTAATGAGGACGGTTCAGTGCAAGCCACAAACTGTGAAGTAATATGAAGTCGACTGCTAGATTATGACTTCGTCGATTAGAAAAAAATTACCAGTGGTCATAAACGCGCTTGACCAGAAAGTTTGCAGAGGCAGATCGTAATCATAGGAGGCTATTTTTAACAGGCATACATAGCGAGAAATGTAGCTGAAATTAAAGAAAAGCTGGATCCCTCTGTTTTATAAAAGAAAGTGCTAGTTTTCATTTGATATTTTATTTTGAATGGCACAGTAATTCGAAATATACTGAAGCCTTTCTAGTTGCACTTTGAATATAGCTTCACCAAAGTACACATTTACTATTGGCTGCTCACTGTTGATTACGAGCTCCCTAATTCGGTGCCGAGGCCCATACCCGATTTTGTAAACTTGAAACAACATGGAAAGGCGAGTTAGTTGGTACTGATTCATTCTTCAATAATAGAAGTGCTAGAAAGACAAAGACAAGAAAGGCGACAACACAAATTTTGCTTCATTGCAAGGCGTTAATTTGTATGAAATCAAAAACAATATACGTATCTTTAAAACAAAAATTGCCATCGTGGCTAGGTGTGTCTCTCCTCGTGTGATTTTGCTGGATTTCTGCCACCGCACAGCATCTCGTTTATTTTCTGTATCAGTCAACATTAATTAAATTTGCGGTTTCATAGTGGCCGAGGGAATGTGGTGTTAGCAGCGATTGGTATTTCCAGTGCTATTTCTGCTTGAACTGAATGCTGTGTCGACTTCCTGAAATGTCCTCAGTCTTTACACATCTATTCCTGTGATCAGTGCACCACCTTTTTGCGTACTTGCATATGGTGTCACTTGTTGGGCATGATCTTGTGGAGGCAGCAGGTAACAGAGCCAGGGAGGGCATAGGATGTCCTTCCTTTGTAGTTTTTAATTAAATTGTGGTAACTTATAAGATAAAGCAATGTAGATGGAATGTGGGTATCTTGTCGTTAATGGGAACTGGAACTGCTGCTCAGTAATCGCTTCCTGGACTTCTTGCAGGCATGCCCAAAGGCTTCTCCGAGGAGCCTAAATCATTGAGCGTTTCTACTGGCAGCATCGCAAGGTTTGCATGCCATGTCATGTCCGTGCCAGCTGCGCTCTACAACTGGCAGCGTAACTTGGAGGATGTGCCGCCTGATGATAAACGGTAAGCATTAATTTATTAATTTAAATACTCTCAATGCCATTTGTGGCATTACAGAGAGGAGTGTTACAAGTCAGAAGTAGCAGTCTTGGCAGTCCTATAAAACAAAAAGGCTGTTAGTCAAGGAGAACGGTATATTAAAAAAAAAAACTTGTGTCTTCTGTTTCTCAGCCCTCCTATTTTCTCTGACAAAATAGGTCACAAATCGTCCTCTAGTATTGCGACAGCTTCTTTGCCCTTATCTTTCGAAATGCTATGGAATAACTACTTGTTCATTTTTGCTCTCCTTCTTTAATGAAGAAAGTATTTTGACCGAAGTTGGCCATTGAGCATAATAAGCATTACTACTTCCATGGTCCTGTAATACTTTTTTTTTTCTGGTCATGAAACTCTTTGCGAAAGTTTATCATGGGGACACAACTAGGCCACCAGAGTTGCCACCGTGAGCAGGAGGGCATCGATCGGTCGCGCTTGGCAGGGCTGTAGCGCGTTCGCGGAAGCCCTGCCAAGTACACTTCAGATATTTTCGTTCTCCGTGTTCTCGCTAACAAATCATAGCAGCTGTTAGTATTGTCGAAGTGGCCCATGATGCGCGTTTTCAAATCACCCAAGTCCTTTATTGCTGGCAATGCTTAAACCGAGTTTGTCTGTCAAGTGACGCGCATTCGTAGTGTTCCTAAATTTCTCAATTCCTGCAGTGTCGCTTTCGGGTTTAGACCAAACATTGTGACTGGTTCTAGATGAATGAAAGGTTAACATAGTTTGCGCTAGAGGTTGCAGAGCAGCCGCACTCTGGCTGCACGTAACCTTCATTTTCGGAATAATTGTCAGTTTATTCTATAGGGCATCACGAAGCAGCCAATAGAAGTTCGCGTGCCAATAGACAAATTTGTATATAAGGGTCACTTGGCATTACTAGCCTCGAAGTGCCTCTTGAGGGATATTGTTAGGGATTAAGCCCAAAAATTAAAAGCTTAGAATGAGACACCACAAGATGGAGTGGAATGCTCAAATTGTGTTCTTTTTTTTTTCCTTTTTTATTTGGTGTCATAATCTGCGCCCTTGATTTTAAAGATTAACTTAAAAAATGGGATGAAACTGTTGTGAGCTGCTAGATATAGGCACCACATTTTATTTCGAAATGAAAGCTTTTAATTTTACGCATGCAGATTTGATGACGCAGCCGAGTTTTGATATACGCGGCCTTTTTTTTTTCTTATTCCCATGTACTCTCTTAATGACCATGACTTCTGAGTTCGCAATCTAATTAGCCCCCCTGTTTCTCGTACGCGCACATAAAAATCAACCAGTGGCGCCGTCCCACGCTGTTCGAGTCTGTTCAACAAGAGGTTTGTCTCGCGAAGCTTTCATTGGGACTTGATCACTACCTGGAACCTCTACAGGACAGCGTCTTGCAGGCTGGGCGCCGATGGGGTCGAAAACAACCTAGCAGACTGGCTTACGCACAATGGCATCTGCCCAAATGAACTGCTGGTCCAAACATAACACTATGCACTTCAATATCTCTTTCAATCCAACTTCAGCTTTTTATGTGCGAGACATTTCTGCCTAACGAAACAAATTTGTGCATCACTTACATGGCAGTGGGTAACATTTTAAATTTGGCAACTACGCTATGCCTTGCAAGCGAATGTAGGCAAACATGAATGGATGGATGAACTTTATTTGGCCCTTCGGAACGTGCTTTAGCAGGTTGCGGGCCGCTCCCACGTCGGAACAGAGAGACCAAGTCTCTCTGCTGCGCCGCGGGCCCTGTGGACTGCCCCGAGCTGTTGTTCGAATCCGGAGTTTGCAATAGCACCGTACCATTTGGAGGGCCTGATGACTTCTGCACAGCGTGACGCGGAGCACCGCCAGAGCATATGTTCTAAGGTAGATATATCGTCGCAGAAGGAACATGTATTAGTTGGTTGTACTTTGGGATAAATTTTGTTTAACAGCTCGGGATTAGGGTACACCCCGACCTGAAGAAGCCTGAGTGTCGAAGCCTGAGGTCTGCGTAGTTTTCTGTGTCCGCGCCAGGTATAAATTTTTTGTCAGTTCATTATACGAGATGGGAGGGTAACGGTTCTCCAAGACATCAGCGCCGCGCCCCCTGATAGCTATACGGTTTACTAAGTCCTCACGCAGCTATGTAGGCTGACTCGTTGAGATTAGACAGGGCTCCATCAAATGCGTCCCATATGGGCTGGGAACCAAAGAAGTGTGCGTGGTTGGATGTCTTTGTCCCGAAGAATTCTCAAAGCTGGTTCCAATATTGTTCCCTTGGCAAATGCTCGGGCCGCCGATCTCGATTCGCTGTAAATTGTGGACCTTCTGTTATACAGCAAGGCCAACACAATCATCACTTGCTCTGCTATTTCAGCCACCATTGTCCGGACCTGTTGTCGAGTTGGTGATACTGCTCTTGTGGTTGATGCTCACTGCCGCATACGCCTTCCCCTTCGGAAATCGGGCTGCATCGACGAAGGAGGAGTCCCCGGCATTTCTTGAGCCCTTTATAGTAGAGCCTTCACCCTGGCCCGTCGTCTACCCTCGTTATGCTCAGGGTGGACATTTCGCGGGATGGGCACAACGGTGATCTGTTCTCGTTGTTGATGAAGAATGCTGCAGACGTGAGACTGGATTGCCATCGATGGAATCCCTAGCTCCCGCAGGATGTTTCTACCGGAATGCGTGGTAGACAGCCTGGCGAATTGCGCCCTCTCCTGTGCCTCTACAATTTCTTCCAGCGTGTTGTGCATGCCGAGACGGAACAGTCTATCCGTGCTTCTGTACATGGGAAGCCCGAGAGCTCTCTTGATGGCCTTTCTGATTGAGGTGTTGAGCTTATCACGCTCCGACCTCTGCCAGTTGTGCATGGTTGCAACGTCGGCGAAATGGCACATCAAAAAGGCGTGCACCAACCTTACAAGGTTATCTTCCCCAACTCCCTGTTGCCTGTTGGCAACCCTTCTTATTAGTCTGATGGCATTGTCAGTTTTTCTGGCGAGACTCATGACCGTCAGGTTATTGCAGCGGTTCGACTGGATGGTCATACCTAGAACCTGGAGGGAGTCCACTCGGGGATCAAGCTGCCCTCTTCTGTCCCTAAGAGTGATGTCAATACCCTCTAAAGGTTTCCATCCTCTCAGTTTGGGGCCCCTGCGCTTGGGCCTGTACAGAAGCAGTTCCGATTTCTCCGGCGAGCACCGAAGACCAGTCGGTTTTACTTAGTTTTCCGTGACCTCAATAGCTTCCTGTAACACAGCTTCTATTCGGCCATCGCTGCCACCGGTACATCATATGGTGGTGATGTCAGCATAGATGGTATGATTAACGCCATCGACTTCGGAGAGTCTTTGAGTCAGACTGATCATAAGGAGATTAATGAAGGTTGGGGACAGTAATGAGCCCTGTGGCATCCCTCTGAAATAAGCTTTACTGGATCCAAAACAAGATCGCCCAACGTGAGTATAGCCTCTCTGTCAGTCAGGAATGACTTTATGTAGGCGTGTAAGTGCTTGCCAAGCCCAAGGCTTGAGATCTGACTCAGCATGAAGTGGTGCAGAACATTCTCAAATACCCTCTGCAAGTCGAGTCTTAAAATGGCTCATATGTCCTTTGTGTTCGCATCAATAATTTGGCATTTGATTAGCTTCATGGCATCTTGAGCCGAGAGGCCCGCCCTGATGAAGCCTATCATGTTGTGGGGATAAATGTCGTGTTCCTCCAGGTATCGGGTTACCTTGTTTAGATAGCATGTTCGGCCACCTTACCTAGGCATGATGTCACGGAGATGGGCCGGCAGGTTGTCGAGGCTGGGAGGTTTGGCCCGGTTTGGGGATGAGGCTTGTGGTGGCCGTTGCCACATCTCTGGGACACTGCCACTCTTCCACACCTGGTTGACGACATCCGTCTGATACTCAACCGACCTGTAATCCAGGTTTCTCAAAGCTTTGTTGGTGATCTTATCAGGACCTGCGGCTGATCTGCCTGTCTGATCTCCTCGCTTCCAAAATCTGCATCCCATTCTGGGTTAGCACACCCTCGGTAAATTGGAGCTGGATGTGGCGGGCCGGAAGCGATTCGCAGGTACTTCACAATCAGTTCTGCCAGTACCTGATTGTCCGAGGATTCTTGCCTTGCTGCATGAAGTGTGCGAGTCAGCGTGCACCTCTGGTTCGATTTGGTGTTGGTGTCATCAAACAGGTGCTTTAGGAGGTTCTAAGGGCCTGCCCTGCGCATCTTCCCGACTACCAAATAGCAAACATCGTCCCATTGTTGTTTAGAGAAGACCTTACTGTGTTCCTCAATGCTTCTGTTCACCTCTACAATCTTCTTGTGAAGCCTCCTGCCCATATTTTCTACAGGCAGTTCCGGGGTGAGTTCCTTAGTGGTATCCTGGATGTCTTCTCTTATCTGCGCCGTCCAGTGTTCCAGGTCAAGCTTCTCTTCATTCTCAGATCTCTCCTCTCTCACTTTGCAAAACAAGTCCCAGTCAGTCACTCTGAACGTACGTGGTATTGTCTGTCCAACTTGCAGAACAGTGGTGAGGAGGTAGTGGTCGCTTCCAAAGTCCACGTCGAGGTTAGACCACTTGACCTCCACCACGTTTCAGACAAAGGTGAGATCCGGTGTCGTGTCCCTAGTGAACGAAGTACCACTTCTGGTAGGGAACGCAGGGTCTGTTACTAGTACTAGGTCCTGGTTCAACACTGCTATCCACAGGTCCTCCCCCTTGAGTGTCGTACGGATAGCCCCAAGTATGATAGGGTGAACTGTATGGGCTTGGATAGAAGAGCCTTGAAGCGCTGTTTGAAGTCCTTAGGGCTGCTGTATACATTGAGAATGAAGATGCTCTTCTCTTTATAAGTAGATTCATGGATGATATCTATTATGATGTGCTCAATTTTGCACTGAACCCACATTAGGAGCAGTGGATGACCTGGGTCAGCTTGTTGCTTATCAGAGCCGCAACGCCTCTTCCTTCCTTCTTTATGACACAGCGGTAACAGGGTAGCTTGACGTCAGTGGTGTGAGTTTCTTGCAAGATTATGGCGTGTGGTTTTTCCAAATGTGAGCGAATAAATTGCTGCAGAGGGTTCCTCTTTTGAAGAAACCCCCTGCAGTTCCACTGCCACGTTATGAATGCACTAGTTTGTGCATCCATTATGTTGCTGTGGTGACTGGGTCATTATTACTGGTTAGTTATTGCCGGTAGTGGCATTGCTCTGAGGTCTACAACAAGTGCAAAGACGTTTTCCAGAAACAACTCTATCTTGGAGTATATTGCAGCAAAACAGCCATTTGGGCTAGTTGGTAACAGTTCATTGTGGAAGAAGTGGGGCGTGGTGCGTAACACGGACTAGAGGAGAGAACAACACAAGCGCACTTGGCAAACCGCTGATTGTGCCTTTCCTCCGTGGCTAGCATGTTGCCCTGCACGTGCGAGACCGTCTCGCCTAGCTGTTTTATGCTCTCGCTGAGTGAAGACAGCATTTGGCGATCTCCTATCTAGCTCTACACGAGGCCTTGTCCTGTTAGCCAACTGTGGCTCTCTTTTTTGCAGGCCTCTGTTTCGCATGCCTCAACTACAGCGATTTTCGTTGAGGGAATCGACGGCGTGACAGGTCTCCACGGGCTGTTGGCCTCCTTCACTTTTAATATCGCATATCTCGACCATAAGTCTAGCTATTGTGCCTCTGATTTCCTTATTTTCGAGTTCGAGTTGTGCTAGCCTCTCATTATTCCTTTGATACTCTGGCGGCGGACCCCGCGTTACCTTTTCGGTGCACCTTGACGGACACGGTCAGCCTATGATGGCTGGCTCCGGTGTTGCTGATCCCGGGACCGAGATCTCTTAATCTAGGAACGACACCTGTCCTTCTCGATAATAGGAGCTACAGCGTATTTGGATCGGGACCCGGATGCGGTTCTGTTGCGGGAGCTCCATCTGGAAGGGGACCGCCCAGTGCACGAGGATGTGGATTCGTTTCCGGTGCGAGAGCGTCCCCTGGAGTGGGGGCGTCTCTTGAAACAGGAACGCCTGCATTGGCAGCGCCCCTGCATTCTTGTGAAGATGGGCGCCAGGCCACGCCGCCACCGTCCTTGCTTCCAGAAGCTTCTGCCGCCTTCTCCCATCTTCATCTCCTCATGACATAAGGAATCTGGTACCGTTGCCTGCAGATCTTGTCTGCTGTTGTGTGCGGACCTCACACAACTTGCATTTTGGGGTGCATTGATGGCGATCACCCGGGTTCGAAGCCCCACATCCTTTGCGCACCATTTCGTTGGGACCTCAACAAACGTCGGCTCGATGACCAAGCCTTTCACAGGTGTAGCAGTTGTCGACCTGCTTGCGATACAGAAAGCACCGCGCTAAAACTGGGCTATAACGTCACAATGTTCGGCACTTTTAAACCATCGAAAATCACAATAATGGTGCCAGTATTCTTGATTCTTTTCGCCCCTAATGCCAGGGGGTTTCTTGAATTCATGACAGTTCTTTCCAGGTCCATGAGGCCGTTGCTCAGCGAAATGCCTCTGATTACCTCTTTGCACATAGAATGCAGGGCAGCCTCATAAGCGTTGACTTCATGGATTTTGCTTGCCACTTCGATCGGTCAACATATATATATATATATATATATATATATATATATATATATGTATGTATGTATGTTGCTGAAAATACTGCAACTTGTCGAGAATTCCAAATTGCCATGAGCGCAGGCACATAGTTTATGAAATGCAGATTTAAATAAGCTGTGGTTGAAAGTTGGGAGATAGAGTGAACGACACAACAGAAGCACTGAAAAATTGATGCTCCTGGTTTCTTACCTCCTTTGGCCGGGCGTGATAAACGACGACCGCCAGCAGGAAACAGTTTGTTTTGCTCAGGCGTAATAAAATGCAGACTGCACCTAATAAATAAATGCACAATTTCTGCCATAGTGCTCACGAAATGTGCTCCACAGCTAGCACTGGCACAGGCTATTTTGTCCACGGTGCACATTTCCACGTGTTCTTCCACAAGTTGCAAAGCCGCAATAATTTCTTCGATGGCTCTTCAAAAATCCTCTTGACTTGATTTGAGTCAATGCAGTTGGCCCTCGAGAGTTGCTTGCGAGTTTATGGAGGCAGTCCTTGCAGCTTATTTTAGCAAAGTTTTTGCTACATAGCCACCGAGGTAATCGGAAATGCAGTCCTTCGTTGACTCCGGATGAATCATGCTTGGATGCATTCAGCAATCTCCAGCAGTATGTCGTCAAAAAGAACTGCCAAGGTATCAATCTGAAACATATTTTGCAATATCGCGATGGCCAGAGTGAGAAGTTTTAAGAATAAATTAGTATAAAACCAGAATAAAAGTTTGTTCTATATCGTACGACCAGACATGCATGTCATTAGCATAAAAGGCGAGACGACGTTCAGCACGTTTATGATGCACAAACACCCTACAAGAAGCAGTTGGGGGGCGCTATTGAAATGTTTACCTGATTACCAGCGGGTTCTTCATGTTGAAAGAGATCCTGCATTTTCAAGAGGAGACGCATACCATCACCTTCAACTGAGGCTCTCTGTGGAGGGCGAATCAAGAGGTGGGCGCTTCGTTTCACGCGAATGCTGTTTTGGTTTGGAGAGGTAAGAAGGCAAACGTAGGAAAATCAGTTGGTACGGCGTGTTCCACCAGTCTAGGTCGTTCTCGGGGCAGCGAAACGATGACTCCGTTCACTGTGCACACTGTCCTCTCGTACAATGTCACTGGCTTTCGAAATGTTTTTCACACACACGAGCGTTCTTTGAGTCTAACGAAAATCTGGCAGTCTCTTGTGGCGAGATCACACGTTTTCACCTGTCGCGTTGTTCTGCGTTGGCTGGGAAACAGAACAGGGAAACATTTTCGACAGTACCCTTGTATCCTGAGTGACAGTCCGGCATGCAGCACAGTGTTGGGCATCACCTGTCTACACGATGGGACCCCAAAAAGCAAGAAATGTGGGTGATCCCATAGAGTTTCTCAAAATTAAGTAGAGGGCACTCTGGCGCTGCGATCAATCAGCGACCATAGGAATGATGGGTAGTACACACATTTGCCTAGTCCTCGTACTTGCGGGCGGCGAATCGTACTTGCGGCTTCGTTTATTGCTGGTTACGGTTTTGTTTTAAAGAAAAGAACAAAACCTTTTGAACTTCGGGAGCTGATTTGGAAAGTAAGTCTAAAAAAATAAAATGGTGAAGCGCAATCGCTTAACATTTGCTAATATTTGTTTAGTGAAGAAACAGCTCCAAGCCACACGAACACACACGGAGCCAAAAGCAGGCCAGAAGTACGAATATTAGACAAATGTGTGTACTACCCATCATTCCCATGCTCGCTGAAGCGACGTGCGTTGCAGCTCCCATAGACACTAGCGCCAGAGTTCCCTCTAGTAAGTATTGTAGGAAACTCTATGGGTGATCCGCACAACGTCCACCACTCCGCGGCAGCACTCGGCTAATGGCGGCCAGCAAAGCAGCCGGCTGAGCCGGCTTTCTCGCCCCTCTATCTAGACCAGCGCCGCGGCGCGGAAAGGGGGGGGGGGCGGCAAATGACGCTTTCCCATTGAGTGACGCGGGAGTTTCATGACCAGAAATAAGTATTAAAGGACCATGCTACTACTGACAGATGTTACAGCGGCAGCAGCAGGTTCACGTTTATCTTGTGTGGCGTGCATGATGTATTGCATTTGTGTAAATTTACCAGTATTCCCAAGTTGGGGTGCATTAGGTGGGGTGCATTAGGAGAATGCATTAGGGGTGCATTAGGTAATCAAAACTTGGCAATGACTTTCCACTATACTATAGACTGTAGGTATTGCATGTAACTGGCAGATTCTTTATGCTTGCACAGGAAGAAAAACAACTGTGCACATGCTGTCTTTCACAGTGAGCTCTATCTCTTTGTCCATTGCATATGGTTTAAAACTTAAATTTCAAGTATATAGTAGCAACAAAATATAATTAATAACTTGGTTATATAAATAAGGAAATAAAGAGAATATAGAGCTTGCTCTCATTATTAAAGTTTTGTGGTAAGCGTAGTTTTGATGCATTCTGACTAAATGTTTGCATGTAAAGATGTGTATCTGTTTGCTTGCTTTGTTTGTGGTAATGATTGAAATTCATGCTTATTTGTGTAGTTTTGTGTGTGCGTGTAGAATTACTTTCTGATCGTAAAGCACAGTTAAGTCTTCTTGAGTTGCAGTGGTGCCTCTCTGAAACATCGCTGCATGGGCTAAATAAATATAAAATGCATCGCTCAGCTTACAAAAAATACCACCTGTCATCCCAAATGATATGTTATGTTTTCAGGTTCACACAGCTCTCTTCGGGAGTCCTGCAGATTGTTAATGTTACAGCTGCTGATGCTGGAAACTATCGCTGCATTGCGAAATCTGCTGCAAGGACCCAGTACAGTGCAGAAGCTACATTGACAGTGTTAGAGTCAGCCGGTCACGGTAAGTGTGACCGTTTAGATTTTTTTATCCTCTGATAACTATGTGACAGACATTCTGAGGCGTTTCCAGTGAATGCGCTGTTCAGGTGTAGCATCGTAATATGGCTTGCTTTACTATAAATGTGAAAACACAGCAACAAAAAAAAAGTAAACGAGGTTTATGGCCTAAACAAGCCTTCTGCCCAGGCCTTATGTATCTGAGTTACAGTGTCTTCACCGCTGGACCTCACCATCATGTGACTTGTGCAGCAAATGCTAACTCTTTGTGCATCGCGTCATGTAACACTCGTCATTGGATATAAAGATATAACTATTTGACAGCTAAGTCTGTCATGAGATAACAAGGGTCATTTTTTAGCACCGTTGTTGTCTGCCGCCGACAGTGTTCGTAACCACTGTCGAGCGAAATAAGAAAAAACTAACTAAATAAAAAATACCCAAGACAGAATGGGATTTGAACCCGGGCCCTCTGCGTGGCACCCCAGTGTTCTACCACTGAGTTGCTTCGTTGCAAACTGACCCTAGGATTCATGCTGGGTAAGGAATGGCGCTAAAATGTGTAGTGAGACATTTTAGAACAGCAAAGGAACAACAAGCCATCACACAATTCAAATTGTGTGACGAGTGGGTGGTCAAATGCTCTAACCCATTTCAAAAGCCTCGAGGCATAATTCTCACTGCCGTCAGCCACAGCGTCAACAAAATGCACGAAATTCCTAGCAAGTGTGTAGTGGGCACCATGCTTCATTGAAGAATGATGAGGAATGGCATGATGATGATGACGATTAAAACTAGTAGTGAATTCCTCCTTTTCTATAAGAAAAAAAATTATGTTGATTTATGGCATAGTGAGTACCCCAGAAGTGTGCTTGTAGTAGTTACCCAAAGAGTGCTTAAAAAAGGTTCTAGAAAGGCTTCTCTTCCAACTTTTGCTGTGACTGTGCTGTGTGTTCTGCGCAGACCTGGCACTTTTCATGTCCAGGTGGGCAAAATTAAAGAAAAAAAGGTGGCCATTGCATTTTCGTCTAGCCATAGGTTGGTGAAGCTTATGGAAATCTCAGAAGGAAAAGAAATGGTGTCACATTCTACAATATAAGCACCATCGACTGATGTGTGTGATACACAGCAAAGAAGATGGCACAGATAATGTACCTTCTGATGCAATTTTTTTGTATCTTTAATTTTTGGTGCATCGACACGGTATTTTGTTATTAGCAGTATCAGTAGTGAACAGTTCGCTATAAACAATCGCTCTTAAGACTTGCCCACTTAGAGTACAAATATTTTAGTCAATCGTAAGATGAAAAGAGAGAAACTCACAACTGGGTAAAATAAGCAGTATTTTTCCTTTGTCTAGTTTCACTCTATATGTGTACTAGTACTTCTTTGTTATTGTCCATTTAACATATAGTGAGGGCTAGTGAAGCTGCTTCAATAGCTAGTTAAGTTATGTTGGTAGTTAACATTGCTGTTAGTTAACATCATGCCTCGAATTTCCTATTTCTTCGAAGTTTCTGCGACGTGCGGGCATGCCTAGACTGCAGTGGTATATATGCTGATAAATCTTGTCGGAATCATTACCCGCTCTCCGTACAATGTTTCTCTTTTAATCGGCATGTCGGCCTCTTGTCTCTGTTCACTCTCACTCGCAGAAGCCCCTGATCAGCCACCAGAGTTCCTAAACCCATCTGACCAGGAGCTGACACTTGTAACGGGAGACACAGTTGAGCTTGAATGTTTTGCCAGGTCGTCACAGCACACTTTTGTCACATGGATACGACAAGGTGAGCCTTTGAGCAATGTACTACCTCATCACACTCATTTGTGAAGTTATACACACACTTTTACTTTGTCAGAGTTAGGTTGTAGGTTACTCATTGACGCATTTGTTTTCTTACAAACGTGGTAATCGTGTCTGTTACATTCCCCGAGAAGTTATGTCCATTTTCTGCTCTACATTTAAGGTGCAGTTTTGTTCCTGCATTGCTCTGCAGCAATTACAGCTGACATTTTTTGTTTGTGGTAGGGTCATTCGATTCATAATAAATAACAAAACTGCACTAGCATGTTAGTGAAGAGAACATGGTTTAATTGTGTTCTATGCTCCTTCTAGCACGTGCTGTTATGCACTTTTGTATTGCTTTAACATTGTGTCTATGCTGTCAACGTCTAGCCTGATATGCAATGAAAATCTGAATCTTGCTACTTTCTGTAAACTTGGAGCATTGTTACTCTCTGTATGCTGTCAACGGCTAGCTTGATATGTCGTCAACATTTGAATCTTTCTACTTGCTGTAAACTTTCAGTATCGTTACTCTCTGCAATCTTTTAAGTTGCCTTGCCTCTTTCAGGGGGAGCACTTCTGCCTGAAGGCCGCAGCACTTATTTCGGTCATGGTAATCTGCGAATTACTAACCTGACACGAAGCGACGCTGGCATCTACAAATGCCTCATCAGCACATCACGAACTACAGCTACTGAGACACTTTCATTATCATCCCAGTCGCACACTTTGATCATTCATGGTAAGTTCGCACTTTGTCCACTTGAACAGTCACCATGTTCAGTGGTTTCCGTGTCCACATGTAGTAATAGATGTGAAACAAGACAGTTGCTTTTTTTATTAATGTCTAGGAGTTCCATTTTTGATAGAATTTAAAAGAGAAAAAAAGCACTAAGTTCAAGCAGTTTGTTTCAGCTGCTAAGGGGTAAGAAGCAAATAATGGCAGTCGGAAAAAAATTTGCCATCAGCATTACCTAATTTTTTGCATTATGTGGGCTATTGCTGTGACCTCATGTTTAAGACTCGCTGAACCTTAAGAAAAATTGTGGTGCCTATAGTGGTGACAGTTCCGATTTCACTGCCACTCGTTGTTTTCTGTGATCAGCTGGGCCAGTGGGTTAAACCGTGACATGCACTCTGCCGAGAGTTTGCAGGTGTTGTGTTCTGGATGTAGAGCAGAAGCATGAACCCTATATTTTTACTGACCTTTATGAGGAAAATGGTACAACCTGCTGTTAGATTTTAGCTTGCTTTGTTCACATAGTTTGATCCATTGAGCTCCGATATTAACATTTGTTACATATGCACTAAAGAGCCGACTGATAAAGGAATTCCCTCTATATTGCTGCTCTAAAACATCTATAGAAGTTCAGCAACTTTTTCTGGCAAAGGGCCACTTTACAGTGGGGCCTGGACAATGAACTGGGGGGGGTTTGGCTGGAGGCAAAGAGAAAAAAGTGGGCGTATTGGCAGTACATTTGTACAAAATTGGAATAGAAGTAAGGCATGCTTCCTGCAAACATGTCACAAGGTTGCAATTTAGTACATTTGTTACACGTGCAAAAGATTTGGGTGCACGTTAAAGAACCCCAGGTGGTCAAAATTTCCGGAGCCCTCCACTACGGTGTCTCTCATAATCATATGGTGGTTTTGGGACGTTAAACCCTACATATCGATCAATCAATCAATTACACGTGCAAACCCTATTTAAGATTAAAAAAATGTGATGTTGGCTTTCAGATAGGGAGGGACAAATAGAGGGGATGGGTTCTGACATTGTGCCAGAGCCCGCACAAAAAGTGCCTGGCGGGCCTTCAGGTTGCCTACCTCTGGTCTATAGCTTCTATAATCTGTTAAATGAAGTTCAGATTTTTTGCTTCTTACATTCGTTTCTCCTTGTAATAGCTACATTTAATTGTATCACTTTTGAATTATGTATGTCAAAATATGCTTCTTATGCCGAATGCTTTATGACCTTTCGATATGCTCTGTAAGTTGCGCCCCTTTGTGAACACTTGATAGACGCCCCGCCGCGGTGTGCTCGGCTGGAGGCCCGCAGCCGTGGGATCGAATCCCGGCTGTGGCAGCTGCATTTCTGATGGAGGCGAAATTGGTGTAGGCTGGTGTGCTCAGATTTGGGTGCATATTAAAGAACTCCAGGTGGTCAAAATTTTCTGAACCCTTCACTACAACGCTGTCATAATCATGTGGTGGTTTTGGAACGTTAAACCCCACATAACTATCTATTTAGCATTTGAAAGACCTTGAGGGTGTGATAAATAAGCAAATTACTGCGAGTGTTGCTTATCACACGCTTAAGCCCAGGTTGCACATAAGCTCTAGCTATCTTATAAGTGACTTTTGAAAGGGGAAAAGGAAGAAATAAGCGCAGTTCCGTTACTGCCTCTCTCAATGGAGGACACCTCCACAGTTCTGCGCAGGGGATGGGGGTAAGGGAGGATTAAAAAGGATAGGGAGGAATTAAATGTTTTTATACAGTTTTTCATGCATTTATCGGGATTCTGTAACACTGACACTGGGTTTTCTGTTGTATTCCAGGCAAAGGTAGCCTCAGTTCTATTCAAAGAATGTCAAATCAATTTACCCCTCCTATCCCCCTCCTTTTTTTGTGTGTTTGCCAATGCATACTGGAAATGTTTCACATTTACCTTCAAAGTTTCCTGTTCAATCTTTGTTCTCACTCTTTGCAGAACTCCCAAGTTTTGCATCAGACATGATAAGTCGAGTTCGCCCCGCTGCTCGCACAGTTCGATTTGACTGCGATGCCCAGGGATATCCTGCACCTGAAGTGCGCTGGTTCAAAGATGGCCAGCCCCTAGTCATCAATGGTCGCATTAAGGTGGGTCAAGATCACTTTAGCATTATGTGCCTTTACTAGGTAAAAAAAAAAGTCGTGACAGCATAGTGGATCGATTTATCTTTCAAAATAAATCAGCATTCTTGAGTATTCTTTGCAATATGTTCTCACGAATATGCCGAAGTTGATGTAGACTGATGAATCAAGGCCTCGTTTAATTGAAATCGGTACTCAGGTTTAGTTGTGCAAGCTTATGCATTTTAACGTGAGATAATTCCATATCTTTTTGTTAAATCGATGTTTGTTTTAAGTGTGGAAGCACACTACTCACGGATTGAAATGCGAAAATAGGCTAAGTTGTGTGCATACTTTGATTTCCAGCGCCCACAGTTCGTTTCATACCGGCATAATTTTGACTCGGACGCCTAAATTAGAGCCAAAATTATCTTTAGTGACGGATTTGTAGCTACATAATGCGGTTATCATGAGCAATTGCTCATAGCATTCGTCGTACTAAATAAATGTTGCATTTCAGTCCATGAGTACTTGTGCAACTTTGTGCTTTTCAGCAGTGCTTTCTTGAATGGGCACCTTATGAATTGGACCATCAGGTAACACTTAAATGGCATAAACTTTTGTGAACATTTGTGGACTTTGTGAAGTACTTGTTGCCATGGCTTAGAGTGGTGTAGGGCAAACATGCCTAAGACTAACTTTGCTGCGTAGATTAGTACTGAAGAAAGATGATATGAGAGACAGCTGATGTCATTGCTGAATTAGCAGGGAAGCACACGCATTTCATTGACCTTGTGAAATTTGCTGTCATTTTGTGAGGAAGTTACTTTTTTTTTAAACAATTCCAGCATCGTCATTATTTTGGCTACACACTAGCGACACAAAGGCATCTCCCGTTAGTCGAATTAACCCTGCTCCATGTCAGCTGTGACCTTGCTATCTCTGCAAACTTTTTAATCTCGTCTGTCCACCTAACTTTCTGCCAATCCCATCACGTGCCTCCTTTCGGTTAACTCGCTTTCTCATTACACGTCATGCTCATGCCTATTTTTTCTTGTTTAGTTAGACTAACATGGCACTAAGGCATGTTTGTTCCCTGACCATCACTTCACTCTCGTCTTGTCCCTTACTTTGATATACCTTTTCCTTATTATTTCTGTGTCACAGTTTCCCTTTAAGCAAATAGGGGAGCCAGCTGTTTATGTTACATTGTGTTGCCTTCACTGGTGCCTCAAAAAAAGAAAAAAAAAAGACCACGCTTTTTGAGCAGGTTTTGATCTTTTAAGTGAATTTTCTTGCTTTAATTGTTTGACCTTAACTGTTGTATTTTATTATTGTTATCTATGCTTTCCTGGAATGAATTATCTACCAACACTGTTCTGTTTTTATCAACATTAAGTTGAACTCCAAGGGGCCACCTGACCTCTCTCTCTTGTTGTATCTTCTCGTCACCAAAAGGTGATGCGGTCAGAGGACAACAAGTTTCTGCGGAAGGTGCGACGCCACATGGTTGAAGACAGTGGCCCACCACACCAGCGGCGCCCCGCGAGCAATGTGCTCGTCATCTCTCACCCAGTGAAGCGTGATGCAGGCTTCTACCAGTGCCTGGCTACCAACGTAGCTGGCATGAACACCCTCGCTGCTCGACTGGTGCTGAATGCCTCAGGTAAATTGGTTCTCAATGCGCAGTTGCCTGGCAGTGGGCTAACAGTGTGCAATATCTTTTGGTTTCCAAGTTTAAAACTTTTTTCCTGTGTCATTAATGATACATCTGAGTATAAAGAGAGAGAGAGAGAGAGAGAGAGAGAGAGAGAGAGAGAGAGAGAGAGAGAGAGATGAGCTTAATTCTATACAGAGGTTTTTGCCAGGGAAAAAAATTATCGCTGTCATGCTTCTCTGTATAAGGACGGGGAGCAGGAATAAATGATTTTAGAGGTGAGTAAGAAAAATTATTTTCAAAAAAGAAAGAATATAAACAGACGTGAAATGTGTAAGTTTACGTGATATAATATTCTCAACTGGTAAGTCAGATTAATTTAGGCACTTTGGTACAACATAAATCTATTCAAACATGTATGGTGATGCTTTATGAGAGGAAGTCTCCAGCTTTTTTTTAAGCATTGATAACCTAATGTGTTTAGATCTGAGCTTGACACTTTGTATGTTACCAAAAAGCTTTCACGTCAATGATTTAGTGTTGTGGATCTTCCCTCCTGCAGAATGTGTAGGTTGCATAATACATGTCTTGATCTGCGTACAAAGTGAAGGTGTCGCCGTTCTGTCGAACCACAAGAAAGGAAATTTACCCGCAAAATCGTTCCTCTTTCATCAAGCAGTACGGGTCATATAGTATTGGCATGTGAGCCTGCCACTTTCGATCCACTCTCGTTTGCAGGGGACCAGCCGATCCCTCCGACTGGTTTAAAGGCTGTGACAAATTCAAGCACAGCCATTCTACTTTCCTGGAACCCCTCTGCGATATCGCCAGGACAGACAATCCAGGCCTACTCAATCCACTACCTCCCCACAGCAGGTACCAGAAAGAGCCGTTTTTCTTCTGACTTGACTTCAATCGAATGGCTTGGCAGAATGCTGTCATGTGTGCACTATTTTTTATGTTTTTTTTTTTTTGGCTGCATGCTTTCTTGAGAGAGAGAAAAAGAAGTGCCGCCATATCCACGAAGTGAATGATGATGAGTGGGCGAAGCTCCGGAGGTAAACCTGGTAAACCGTGAATCCTCTGTACATTTTGCCCACTCGATTTTATTACATCGCTCCCCCTAGCGTACGTCGCCGCACTAAATCGAACGATTGCCTTCAACCAATGACACGCGCTATATGTGACATCATTCCTATTTTATAAGATCTTGCGTCTTTCATCAACTACAAGTACCGCTTTCTAGTTTATAACATCTTGCATCTTTTCATCATCAGCTACAAGTACCACCATCTAGTAAACACTACAAGAACTAAACGAAAGGTGGCTACATACAGGAGACGGTACCGCCATCTAGTGAACACTGCAAGAACTAAACTAGAGGTGGCTACATACAGGGGACGGTACCGCCATCTAGTGAACACTGCAAGAACTGAACTAGAGGTGGCTACATACAAGGGACGCACAGCCCACGCCCTAAGGAGCTTCGCCCCTAAAAAAATTTGATGCTGGACTGGTTTGTGGCAGCATGTGATGCAGTTATTCTATCTTCTCTATTAAATTTTGTTTTGATTATAATTGAGTCACCGACTACAAATTAAAGTTGAACAAGATGAAATAGAATTAGGACTGTATTTTTATTATCACAGACCTATAAACAGTTAAAGGTAGTTAGATTGAAGATTGAAAAAATGGAAAAAGAAATGGTGCTACAGGCTCGAATGCACACATTGCCATATAACACCTTCTAAGTGCAAAATCCATCAGTGATCCAAAGGAAAAAGGTGCTTGAGCTAACTTTGCTGACTGTTTAGGACAAAGTGTGGCATGATAAAACCAGTAAAGGATCCCTCAAGAGTATGTAGTAACTGTTTTCGGGCTGTCAGCCATAATGTGATAACAATGTTGTTCTGTGTTTATTTATTTATTTTTTTATTTATTCGAGTACCTACAGCGCCCAGTTTGGGCATTACAGTAGGGGGGAGGAGACATAAAACTTGAAATTGATACAGGGTATGAATACCGATAACAAAACAAGTAAGCATGCTCAGCTTATACAGTGTGTACACATTCTCGGGGACATGAGGCAATCAAGGAAAAGTAAAACACAAACAGAAATGCAGACAGAAATTGGCATCTTTCATTTCAACAAAAATTGTGACTGAGCATTTTGAAATGAGGGTGGCGGGGTGGATACAATATATTCTGGTAGGTTGTTCCATTCGTGTGTGGTTTTCGGGAAGAAGGAGTTTTTGTAAGTATTTATGCGACATCGGTATTCGCGAACTTTGCGGGAGTGATCTAGGCGAGAAGATACATAAGTGGGATCTTTAATGTACACGTCTTTATTTAAACTAGTGCTACCAATATAAATATTATGAAATAGATTTAATCTTAAGAATTTGCGCCTGTCCTGCAGGAGAGGCCAACCCAAATGTTTACGAATGTACGAAGAGCGGTTAGTGAAATCATAGTTACCAGACACAAAACGTCCTGCTCGTTTCTGAACCCTTTCTAGCTCATTAGTACATATTTTAGTGTCTGGATCCCAAGCCACACAACCGTACTCTAAAATTGAGCGAACGTTAGAAATATAGAGCGTTTCCTTTAGTTTAGGTGGGGCCTGTTTAAAGTTACGCTTCAGGAAGTTCAATACTCGGCTCGCTTTAGCACCGACGTATTCAATGTGGTCGTTCCAGGATAGGTTGCTCGTAAAGAAAACGCCTAGGTACTTATATTTAGACACAACTTCCAAACGATTGTCTCCAAGAAAGTAATTCGTATTTAGAATGTTCTTTTTGTTTGTGTAGCGAACGGTATTACATTTTGAAAAGTTAAGTGTCATGTTCCATGTGGTGCACCATGATAACACAGCATTTAGATCACTTTGTAGTTGAGCAGAATCTTGAGCAGACGTGACGTCACGATATATGCAGCAGTCATCTGCATACATGCGCATGCGGCTGGATACTTTATGGATTATATCATTTATAAATATCAAAAAAGAAGGGGTCCCAGAACAGATCCCTGGGGGACCCCTGATAAGACATCGACATCAGATGAATTCACTCCCTCGAGAACAACCCGCTGTTTTCTACCAACAAGATACGCTTCAAGCCACTTCAACAAAGAGGGAGGGATATTTAGAGCAGACAGTTTAAGTAATAATAAATTGTGTGATACAGAATCAAAGGCTTTTTTGAAAATCTAAAAATACACAGTCCACTTGGCATCCATTGTCGATCGAGGCAGCTATATCATGACTAAATTCAATTAGTTGAGTATCGCAGGACAACCCTTTTCTGAAACCGTGTTGCGTAGTGCATAAAAAGTTATTATCTTGAAGATGGGAGATTAAATTGGTATAGATAATGTGTTTCATCAATTTACATATTACACAAGTTAGCGAGATCGGTCTGTAATTTTTTGTTCGCGTTTTGTCTCCAGCTTTGAAGATAGGGGCAACGTTGGCACTTTTCCAGTCGTCAGGTAAACAGCCAAGCGCCATTGATTTTTCGAAGAGCAAGACTATAAATGGTACAAGTGAGGCAGCACAGTTTTTTAAAACATAATTAGGAATAGCATCAGGACCAGGTGCCGCATTTACCTTAATTTTTTGTAGCAGAGCTAAGACTCCACGTTCAGTAAAACATATTTCAATCATTTCTGAATTTTTTCCGACTAACTGAGGGCCGCTGGGTAGGCAAACTGATTGGGTGAAAACAGACTGAAAATAAAAATTGAATCTCTCAGCTTTGCCCTTTAAGTCTGCGCTGAAGTTGAGGTCATATATAACATCTGGAATCGTTTCCTTCACAGCCTGCTTGCTTTTAACGTACTTCCATACTTCTTTCGGGTTATTTTTGATCCTATCAGTTAGGCGACCCAGATGCTCAAGTTCAGCGCAGCGCATCTGTTTAGCAACACTCTTGTTTAGTTGTTTTAACGTTTCATGTAGCTCGCGTTGTGGTGTCTGGCGGTACTTTCGATAAACGCGGTGCCCGCGATTAATCAAGGCCTTGAGGCTGCTGTTAATCCAGGGCTTACTAGTTCTACGCTTTGAGGAAAGCACCCATGACGGAACATTAGTGTGTATCAGTGATAAAAGCTTAGTTTTGAACAAGTGCCATGTAGTATTCAAATCCAGGTTGGTAGCATGTTGTCTGAACTCCGGTAAAAACTGATCTAGCTCTCGGGAAAGAGAGACATAATCTCCGCGATTATAATAAGACACTTTTCGCGGTAACGGATTCGGGCGGCGCACAATATCGCAACTTATTGATCCAACAACGACTTCGTGGTCGCTTATACCTGGTATTGTTGTGACAGAAGAGATTAGAGTTTGGTCATTGCAAAAAATTAAATCAAGCACATTATTGCAAGAGGAACCTAGTCTGGTAGGACGAGATACAAATTGAAGTAGCGAATGATCGTTAATCATTTCACAAAAAGCAGAGTACAGAAGCGACGACGTGTTAGATTTAGGCTGAAGATGGACCCATTCGATGTTTGGCAAATTAAAATCGCCCGCCAAAATAACACGCGTTGCATCTAGAGCTAGTAAAATATTGCTAAGCTGAAACAATGACTCGGGGCCTTTCTGTGAAGGTGGCCTGTAAAACGACCCGATAGCCATAGCGGAGCCGTTAGCGAGGATAACCTTACACCAGACCGTTTCGCATGATGGGGTATTTAGGTTTATTGGCACGCTACTGATAGCACTGTGGACAAGGACGAAAACGCCCCCACAATGCACATTGCGATCTTTTCGATATGCCGTATAGTTCGGCGGAAAACTTTCGCTGTCAGTTATGGTGTCATCCAACCACGACTCAGTGCCCACAACGACGTGTGGCTTTACTAGTTCAACAAGTGCACCAAACTCCTCCTTTTTGTTCTTGAGGCTACGGCAATTTACAACAATTATTTTAAGTTCCGTTACAGCATCTGTCTTTTCGCGCGATAGAGGTTGAATTGGTGGCTATCGGGCATTGCACTTCACGCTAACACTAGCCGCGTCATACCTAAAAACTTGTGTGCCAATCTTGAGCTTATTGAAGTTTAGCTTGAAATCACCACCGCGTTCTCTAGCAAACTGGAGTAACTTTTTACGCTCCAATCTAACCTTTTCAGAGTAGTCTTCGCTGATAGAATAGTCGGTTCCCTTTAGTTTCCGCGCAGCGGCAAGCACCCGTTGTTTTTCTTTAAATGACACGTACTTCACTGTTATCGGCCTGTTGTTTTGCTGTGAAAAACGCCCAAGCCTGTGGGCTCGTTCTATCGATGTTACAGAAGCATCAACGCTTAGTTTTTCGGAGCAAAAAGTCAAAATTCGTTCCTCAGATTCCGCCCACGTTTCACCAGCGGTATCATCAAGACCATAAAATAGCAAGTTATTTCGGCGTGATCTATTTTCTAGATCGTCTTGGCGTTCGCGCATGGAGGCAAACGATGCAGCAAGTGATTCAACTCAAGCCGTCACTCTCCCTACTTCTTCTTTCAAAGGCGGAACACATGATGCGCTGGCTTCAGCACGCTCGACCTTAGCCGCGAGATCAGATACGTTTTGTTTGATAGCTTGTTGCTCACAGCGTAGGGTGCGAATTTCATCAAGAATGTCTGACTGCTTCTGCAACATCTGAGGGATTTGCATGATTGCAGAAAACATTTTTTGTTCTTGCTCCTCGGAAAGGGGGCCAGGATTCTGCTCGATATCGCCGGACAGCAGCAAAAGCAACCCAACAATAACATCTCCGCTTTCCGAGTAGTTTGTAACAACATGAAATAAATCACAAATAAGCACACTGACACATGTGGGATCTGACGCCAGCTTTCTAAACGGTTTTCCATATACACAACGATAGGAATAACCAACCTGCAGAAACAGTAGGCGTAAATGCCTGGCGTCCATGGCGGCGCCAGATCCCGGAGTGGCAGGTTGAGGTGCCTGCTTAAGTAGTATCCCATCCTGGTGTGACCAAGGTTGCCAGAGGATGAGACGAACGGCTGCCGGCAGCGCTGTCATGTCCAGTGGCGGGTTGCGATCCCAAGGGCATATGAAAGCGGGGGCACACGTGATTCATGTCGGCATTCTTGATAGGAAACAAGCACGCTGAGCCGAAGGTGCCGCAGACGGTAGTCATCACCTGCATCAGCTGCAGAAACAGTAGGCGTAAATGCCTGGCGTCCATGGCGGCGCCAGATCCCGGAGTGGCAGGCTGAGGTGCCTGCTTAAGTAGTATCCCATCCTGGTGTGACCAAGGTTGCCAGAGGATGAGACGAACGGCTGCCGGCAGCGCTGTCATGTCCAGTGGCGGGTTGCGATCCCAAGGGCATATGAAAGCGGGGCACACGTGATTCATGTCGGAATTCTTGATAAAAACAAGCACGCTGAGCCGAAGGTGCCGCAGACGGTAGTCATCACCTGCATCAGCTGCAGAAACAGTAGGTGTAAATGCCTGCCGTCCATGGCGGCGCCAGATCCCCTGGGCAAGTTGTCAGCTACTTTGAAGTCAATGCCGGACGATGCTCACAGGCATGACAGCTGCGCATTGCATTATGGCAGTGCCCATGCAAAAGTGCTATAAGTGGTCTGTGAACACTTTGTTGCAAGTCTAAAGGCTTTTCGTTTGTTTAAGGCGTACCTGTGGATCATAGCAATTTGTATGATGCTTTCAAGTGACTAGTACTTTTTTGTGTCGCACGCTGTCTAAAAAAACTTAGTCAGGAAAACTTCGTACATGTCTGGATGAGACAGCTGACCTTTACAGACACAACACTAACAGCTTCTGCTCAATACAGATGTTTCCCCTATCTTATTAAACATTCTGCTAGATTTGTCTGAAGGTGTTTGTCAACTTTCTTGCAGGTGGCAATGAGCTTCAGAAGGTCTCTGTGAACACGGCACTCCTTATAGAAAAGCTGATGCCCTTCACCAATTACACATTCTACGTGCGGGCCTACAGTGGCAAGGGTGCCAGTGAGCAGTCCGAGAAAGTAATCCAAATCACTGGAGAAGACTGGTACGTTGAGTCACGCATCTCAGTGAACAAAATACCTTTCTTTCAAAGGAGGATGAAAAAAAAAATCAAAGAAAATTCTGAATCACCATTTCAACATGTTGGTGCCTTTTTTTTTTTTTCAGCCACATTTTTTTTTACTATTTTAGTTAATATTTCTGATCATTTGCACTCATGAGAGATTTAAACTATTAATTGAACGAAAGTGAATTGCATGTTAGCATTGAACAATTTACCAACGATATTTGCTGTAATCATGGACGTTGCAGCCAGTGTTATTTATTGCCATTTGTGCATTGACTATTCAGCTACGACTTGGGTTTCCTTTATGGAAACGGTGTCTGGACTCCTGTTTTGGAATTTCGGCTGCTTTTTGCACAGTGATGTCGCATGGTACGATTGCTGTTGCATGATCTGTGTGCCAGACTTCATTGCTTGAAAGAATTGATTGTTGGGTCAGTTGGGTGTACAAAACTGACTGAGATAAATTATTTGTGCAAAATGAAAAAAAAAGCAGCTTGGAATACGAGGAAGCGTTAGTCCTCGTTTCCTTCTATTTGTTGTGTTTTTTTTTTTACTGATAAATCTTCACCAGTTAAGTGTTTCAAAATGGCCAAGCCTTGTGATCAGCTGTTTAGGTACGATCAGATGGGGAATCCAAACAGAGAAACATAGCCGTTCACAGTTATCGAGTCAAATGTTCTCCCACAAACTAAGCAAAAATGGAGCTTTGACAAAATCTTATCTCGAGCAAGCTGACCTATAATCGTTCATCAGCGTATCTTTAACGAGTGCCATGCTTTTATTTAATTATTTTGTTTTGAATGATTGCCTCTTCACAGTGCCGCTTGGTGCCCCGTCTGTGACTGTGACCAGTCTCACTCCAACAACCATGCACATCTCATGGAGCGAGCTCCCACCAACTGTTGCCAGGGGCAACATTGCACTCTACCGCATCCACTACCGCCTGCACGGACAGAATTATAACAACGTGTTGGTTGTCAAGGGAACCGTCCGAGAGTACACCATCACTGGTGGGTTGCTTCTGCTTGCTGCCGGAGTGTTTTGTGTGTTCCCTGCCGGTTCAGGAAATATACTGTCACGTGGTCGGGACATTGAAGGAGGTGGAAGTTGGGCTGTTATAAGTTGAACACCTTGTTAGGCAAACTTGTGCCCAAGAAATTAACAGTCAAAGTGAAAGCAATGCATGCTGTACATTGATAGCAGCAGTCGCAGTCGTCATTCATCAATGATCCGCTTGTTTGTGAAATTGGTCAACTTCTAGATATGCCTTACCGTACCTTCCAGGGTTGTCTCAAGGGCTGGGGCTAACGCTAGGATATATTTAGTTACACATGCCCTGTTTGTAATCTCAACAGAACAGTCTGAAACAATCGTGAAGTTCCGAAACATTGCTGCATGGCCTGGAAAAAGTGGTGGCCACAGGTTTTTGTGGTTGAAGCCCTATAACATTAAAGTAAAATAATTATGCACGTGTGGCATTACAAAGCACATTACAATACCGCTTTCGTTCTGCAAAGTCAGCACTTCTTGAAAAAAAGAAGCAGACCTTGAAACTTGTAGAAATCACAGTTAGTGAAATCTCGTCGGTGAAGTAATGTTTGCCAACGTTCTTACTACTGCTAATAAGAAACAAAGCACCTGTAGGTCTCCTATTGGCTTGGGTTCTGATGAATGCAGTGGAATCTCAATACATTTTTCATGAAAACAGGAAAATGAAAATGTATTAACCAAAATGGTAAAAAATAATAATAAGAAGGAGGAGGCAAATGTGCATACTCCTTCAGTATTTCATTTTTATTCAGTAACAATGAAGTAGATGGTCAACTAGCATTGTACTCTTTTTTTACGGCAGAAGGATCGCTTAGCAGCATCTGGCTGCAAAAATGATGCTGCTGCAGCAGCTCTGCAACGTGCAGATTGGAGCTTCTTTGAGCGTGCTTTTTACCTAGAATGCTGAAGAATGACCATAAGATTTCTAGATTTATTGGTCGCAATGCACTTTCAGGGTCGCATTGTAAAGTTTGGACAAGAATTTGCATCATTCCCCACGAGCATTGGACAGGAATACAAAAAAAAAAAACCTATGAGGTGAAAAAAAGTATTATCCGGAATCATATTATAGACATTCCACTGTTTTTAGTGCTTGTATGCTTGTTCATTTCGAACTGCCCCATCAACAACAATATCTGCAAATAGTACTTGATTCCAAAACGCGTAAGTGAATCCTTGTGAGAAGAAGATTGCAACACTACTCAAGAGAAAGGCTGCACGTGCATGGAAGAAGAGGCTTTGTTGAGGCAAGATCTTTCGTTTCCATCAGGTCTGGAACCGAACAAGGAGTACGATGTGCGAGTTATGGCTGGAACAGCCGAGGGATTTCCAGTTCTCTCGGATGAAGCTTGGCCCTGGGTCACCTACCGCATGCCCCATAAGTCCTCCTCAACCAGTGAGTCGCTTACTGTCAGGTTGCTTCTTTGTGCCTCATGTACAGTGTTGCTTGAAATGTAGTCAAGCCCACTTATAACAAACTTGAGCGTGACGCGGCATTTGTTCGCTGTATTCCTAAATGAAACACAGATAAAAAAGTTGCAAGTGAGAATACAAATTTTTTTTTCTTTTTGCGAAAAAGTTCATGCTACATGTGTTTCGAAGAGCGGAAGCGATAACGGTTTGATAATTGATTGATATGTGGGTTTGTGGGGTTTAACGTACCAAAACCACCATATGATTATGAGAGATGCGAGCGATAAGGGTGGTCTTGAGTTTATTTAAAAAGGCACCGTCATCTGATTCCTCTAAATCACGCTCTTGCCACAGTGCTCCATTCACAATGCCCTCAACCGTGCACAATTTCACAGTGTCGGCATTATCATAAGTCGTAATCAAATCATCCCAGCAGATGTCTCGCCTTCCAATGTCGCCGTCAAAAGTCGACAACGCACTGCCACAAAGCCGCAAGAGTGGTCCTGTTCGCTGACGAAGTAGGCCTTGCAAAAACAGTTTCGCACACATGTAGCCATCACCTACGCCCACGAAGCCTTCATCATGTCCATCAGCTGAATACAGGGACATCTGAAGCAGCAGGTTGGCTGCCGGCGGTCAACAGCTATAGTCGAGCCGCTTATAACGATCCTGAGCGTGACGCGGCATTCGTTCGCTGTATCCCGAAGGTCGTAGTAATTGAAACACATCTTTTAAAAAAAGTTGCAAGTGAAAACACAATTTTTCTTCCCCATAAAGTCCGTGATGCACGTGTTTCGAAGAGCAGAAGCGATAAGGGAGGTCTTGAGTTCATTTGAAACGGCAGAGTGCTCGTTCGCCGAGGCTCGTGGCATAAGCTGCATGTGGCACTGGCTTTAAAGTTTCGTCGTTCTCGCAATCCGATTCCTTCAAATAGCTCTCGCCACGTACTTCATTCACAATGCCTCAATCAGTGCACGGTTCTGCAGTGTCGGCATCTTCATCTGCCGTAATTAAACCATCGCAACAGATGTCCCACCCACTCTCCCAGGTCGGAGTCGATGACGCACTGCCACAAATCGCCGCCGCAGTTTGGAAGCTTCAGGCTCGGCATTAGGCCCGACGTCGACGAAGTTGGCCTCGCGAAAACAGTTTCACGTGCATGTAGCCGTCACCACCGCCCACGAAATATTCACCATCTCCACAGCTGAATACCGGGACCCCCGAAGCGGCATGTTGGCTGCCAGATGGTCAACAGCTATGAGCAAGCGCTCCGCAATGCGGCACCTAACGGATTACGCTTAAGCCAAGCGGTCACATTTTCGACATTTTGTTGAGTGGCAGGAAAAAGCGTGCTAGTCGTCCCGTCGGCCATCATGACCACACACGCACACCAATAGCGAGCAAGACTCACACATGCCAGAATGCGCGGAACAGGTCTGGGCCCGTGTCCAGTCAGAAAACGAAACTAATTCGAGCCAGCGTGGATCGCGGAGCGGCGGAGACGGGCGAAGGCATGGAGGAACCTTCCTCCGTGGGCGAAGGGGTTGTGATAAAGAGAGGAGAGTAGACTTGCAAGAGAAGGGCAAGGATTTGCGATAAAGAGAGGGGAGGATGCGGCGGGAGGACGACCTTGAAAACAAAAACACACGGGAAGGGGGCAGGTTGGGTAGCTTGCTTGAAAGGTCCGGCAATACTCGCACGTAGAAAAACTTGGAAAGAGTGCCTGCGCGCGCAGAAGTGAAAGCATGACCAGCCTGGATCGGTGCGCAAGGTGGTGTTCGAAGAATCGGCGGCCTTGGTTGAAAAATCGTTTTGTTGCGCCGGCGGGTTTGCGTAGCCTCACGAACATCAATATTTCGCGATTCGTTCAGCACAAATTAACAGCCGTTTTCGCGCTTCCGCACACGCGCAAAAGGCATGCTGAGCCGAGTGCGAAGTAAGGAGAGAACAAGTCCTAAACACGAAACGAATCGCGAGTCGGTGGGGTAGCATACGCACGTGCGCTAGACGCAGACTATCGGATACAGTCGGTGGTTGACGATGTTGGCAAATGGTCTGGTCACTGCCAGGCCGGCGACGCCAACCAGCGATCAAAAACAGGGTAGATGGCCGACTGGTCTTCGAAAGATCGGTAGCAGTGTGAAAACACGGGCCTCGTCTGGCGATGTGGGGTGCTCAGAGTAGCAAGGGGACAAAGAACAAAGGGGTGCGTAACAAAAAGCAGTCGAGGCATGGAGGAAGGAAACAGCTTTCTTTCCTCCATGGGTGTGGGAGAGCGGCAACTAGAGGGTCGCGGAGGCAGGGTCGGCGTTTAACAATAAGAATGTATGGGCACCTCGCTAATGCCTGATCAGTGGTCGAAATTGGTTTTCCGGGAAATCGGCAGACCGCTGACTCCGTTCGCTATAACCAATCAGCAGCGCTCGGAGACGTTCGTTGTAAGTGCGATTTTGTGCCATTGAACCAATGTATATTTTCATGGTCACGCGGATATTGTTCGTTTTAAGTGGGGCTGTTATATGTGGGCTCGACTGTATGAACAAGCGCTCCGCACTGCGGCACCTATATCTTAAACGCACTGACTGCACCCAAGTGGGGCTGTTATATGTGGGCTCGACTGTATAGACTTTAAGTAAGTAAAGTGTTAAAGCTAGGTGACTACACGAAACCTTGCAAAATGTCGGTGACAATAGGCGTTGTTATGAAAGCCCATTTCAGAATATGTCACCATTACTTCTTCACTAAAACATAAAATAGATAAGGATGCCGCTATCTTAATTGTTTTTTGTTTTTGTTTTTTTAATCTACAAGATCTACAGCATTTGTAAAGTGTGAGTACATCCAATGGCATTCCTTGGCATCTCAGCGCCTTGCATTTCCCACCTTAGCATGTTGCACCTCACAAGAAATGCCTGTGAGATGTTGCATCTTTCTTTGCTCGGCATGGTTATGTTATGTTACCACACTCTAATCAGGATTTTCTTCATTGCAAGTGTCGTAAGCTTCAATGCTGCTAGAGCGCATTTCACACATTAGGTTGACTGTATTAGGCCTATTCTGTTTAGAATAACTGACAACTTGGCAAGTTGGTATGAATTAATACTAGTGAAACAGCGCCACGAGGTAAGACGAAAGCAAAAGAAAGGAGCACGAAACACAAGTGCAGACTCTCAGCTGAAATTTTATTGACATGCAAAAAACATAAATATATACCCACGCGCAGCTTCGCACAGATAACAACCCGTACATAAACGTGAGACAACTGGTGTGAGCTACCAGTAACAAAATACACAAGAAAACAATCTCTCTACCCGTTAAAGTACAAGAGTTCTGTATCTTGCAAAGCTACAGACGGGAAGCTGATGCATGATTCATTTTCTTTTTGTATGTTCTGGGCCTTAATAATCTCTTGAGTTGTGTGGTCATGATGCCGTGACACTGTTCTGGTTTCACTGAACTGGGGTTCACATTCACACTGCCTACAATGCACAGTCATATGCGATATGTCATCGCTTCGTACACCTGATTTATGCCCTCTTACCCCAACATTAACCTACTTTCCTGTCTGGCCTATGTATGCGGCGCTGCATGACAGGGGGGTTCGGTAAACAACACTAGAGGCACACTCAATTGCTTGAGATCAATGCTTAAAGCCACATCCCGCATTATTCTTTGCTTTTTTGATTCCTGCTTTCTTGTTTACATGACGGCAAATTCCTCCTAATTTGTTGGGCATTGAAAAAACCATATCCATGCCGTGTCTGCCTGCTACATTTTTTAGCCCATGCGATAGCGCGTGAATATATGGCACAACTAGAGAACTTTTTTGTTTTTTCAACAGGTATTTGACCTGCCGGGCTTGTTACCGACTTATTCCTCGGATCACTTTTTCGCATGCCTTAGTTACCATATGATCAGGGAAACCAGCGCTCTTTATTCTGTCTGCTTGTCATGTCATGCTTTCTTAGTTTTTTTGTGTGTGTTTGTTTATTTTTTTATTGGTTGCTCGCACTAGTTGTCTTCTGTTAATGTACGGGTTGTCATATGTGTGAAGCCACGGGGGGGGGTATATATTTGCTTTGCGCTTGTCAATAAAATTTTGGTTGAGTGTCGGCGCTTGGGTTTCATATTTCTTTCTCAAGTTTCCCCGCAAGTTTCCTACAATAAAGTTTGTTTTCTGCCCTACTAATTTCAGCATAACAAGTGTTCACAACTAATATATATATATTTTTTGAAGGCCTTGGTGAAGCTTCATTTATTGCTTAGTAATAAGGCAGGCAGTGTGAATTCACTGTCTATTTATTTATTTATTTATTTATTTATTTATTTATTTAGTGAATACTGCCGACTTCTATGCGAAGTCGTAGGCAGGAGGGGGGTCTATGATGCGCTACATGCATTGAGGGCACTGTATATAAGTGAGTGAATAAAGGAGCAAACAATTACATTTCTTGGTACGTAGATGTAACTTCAACTTCTTGATTGCCTGCAGTGCCATTGCCTCCAGTTTTGTACCTGATCGTCATCAATGCCACTACCCTGGAGGCCCGGTGGTCTGTGTCCCCAGAGGAAAAGAACCTGATGTCGGGTTTCAAGCTGCGCTTTAGAGAGCAGGGCAGCCAGTTCCTGGACCCTATTGTCCTGCCCAACACAACCTTCTCCTATGTAGTGTACAACTTGAGTGAGTTACCACACCAACATCTCTCATTTAAAGGAAACGCTGGTAACGCTACCTGCGCATTATTAGCAACTGCTGTCACAGGAGTCAGTGGCCGAGTTCTAAAATTGAGTGCACTAGCTTTAGTCAGGCCATCCACGTTTTAAATGGCCTGTAATTAAGATCCTTGTGGAAATGTTTAGAATGGTAGACTGCTGAATGGTAGACTGGTAGACGGTGAAGCGCGAGTGCTCGTTGCCAGTGGACAACAGCTTCACATCCTTGGCGCCGCGCTGCATGATCGACGAAGGCATGTCTAACCACACTGGGGTCTCATCGGCGTTGCCAATGTGCCCCATCATGTAGTCCTTCTGCTCCCGAAGCCAGTTCACGAAGCGCTAAAAGTGTATGAGCTTGTCCTCGAACTCCTCCGGCAACTTTTGACAGATGGATGTGCGCCGCCGTAGAGAAAATCCTTTGTGTCACATAAATCGACGCACCCAAGAGTTCGGTGCACGAAACTCTTCTCTTGTGAGCCCAGCTTCTCAAGCAAGTTCCACGGCTTTCTTGCGAATGGTATCCATGGTCACTGGCAGCGAGCGCGCACGAACTTCCCGCACAAAGTCGGCTAGCTTATCCTCCAGCTGCTGATGAACGACACTTCGTCCCCGAAACGACATTTTTCGAAGATTGCACATCTGCAGCTTCCCTTTCTGCGCCCTCCAATAGCGCACGCTTTTTTTCGATACACCAAAGCGACGCTGAGAAGCCATATTCGCGTTCCCTTCTGCCAACTCAACAACATCTGATTTAAACGCAGCTGAGTACTGCCTCCTCGCACCGCTAGACATATTCAGTGAAAGAAAAAAAAAAAGCCCACTAAAAAGCAGCGCAATGTCAAGCGGAGCGAAAACTCAGAACAGATTGGAAGCAAATCACGAACACAAAGAAAACAGACGGAGAGAAAAAGAAAAAGAACAGACTGCGATTGGATTTGGATGCGGATGTGGCCGCGTCCGGCTTCACAAGCACATGCAAGCCACATGTTGCCAGACAGCGTCACACTTTCGGCTAGACACCGCTATATAAGACGAGGGGCGACTTTAGCTTATTATTTCATTAAAAATATCTCAACTTATATTTCGGTTTGTACGGTAAGTAAAAATATGAAGCTTGAGTTACACCTGCCTATTATAGAAAATCTGAGACTGCTTTTGAGCATGGGTGCGTGTGCTTCCTTACAATACATTGTTTGTTTGTGTGTGTGTGTGTTTGTGTGTGTGTGTGTGTGTGTGTGTGTGTGTGTGTGTGTGTAATGATGCATGCTTACAGCTTCTGCTAGACAGAGTGTAGTTCTTATTTCTTGTCCACAAAATTATTGCAGAATGGAGTTTGTCAATTTGTCACCTTTAATGACACATCTGTTATACCATTTTCCAGCACATTTAAGTATTCTTTGGCTTCAGCTCTTATGTTTTTCAGGCTTTAGTGTCATTAGACATGTCAAATTAACATTTCCTGTCAGTCTGTAGAAATACTAATTTTTATTGCGATAGCAGTTATATGGACACCCTCCGCTGGATTTTGCCGTCTGCGTGGGCGTCGCCGTCACACACCGTATATGTATGCGTATGTATGTATATATATGAAAACGCATGAAAGAAAAAACCTGAAAAAGACTTTGGCGCACGGAATCGTACTTCGCACCCCTGAGTTGTGAATGCGAGGCACTAACCCCTGAGCCATCGAGCAACATGTCCCCTTCAACGTTCAAACTGCAAGCTATTTATATCCATGGGCATATTGGGGGGGGGGGGGGGGGACTATTGTGTTTTCAGCATTACCAGCAAGATGGCGCCATGAGCGGGCGGCGGCGCGTTTTCTCATCTCCCACGCTGCATACTTTGCCGCTCAGAGGGAAGGAGCTAGCTTCTTATCTCGCGGTTGGGACGGTCGTACGTCTTGGCTGGCATTAGGCTCTCACTACAACGTTTCTCTTGTAGTTACTGGGCGCACAAAGGTGACTGAAATCATTGCATAGTTTCTATTTGCGAAAAGGGTGCGCTTTTCAGACACAGCGAAGTAACAACTGAGACGCTTATTTGTGTTCATCTGTACCTGTGAGTACGTTTCGTGCGTCATTTGTGGGCGAGAGACTCGGGGCATGTTTCGATCTGCTTGCCATTCTGCGCGTGACCTTCCAATTATTGCTGTCGCGCTCATTGCTTCACCTTTGCGGCAAAGCTCTGACTTTATTGTTTATGAATGACGGGTGCATGGAGAACATTTCGTAAAACATAACGCACCTTTACTTTAATCTTTTTCAGAGCCTCAAACCTGGTATGAGGTGCATGTGTCTTGCTTCAACCATCTTGGGGATGGCCAGGAAGCTGTACAGACAATCCTGACCCACCCTGAAAACCTGACTGTAGAAGGTGATGTGGGTGCGTGTTATATTTTTGCCTTCAGCCATATTGTCACAATGTGGGGACAACATCTAAGAATACAGCAATCAAGGCCTTAATTAAAAGTTTAATTTCTTACTTGGTGAGCTTGGACCTAGCAGAGCCAGTAAATATCTGGTTGTAATGATAGTGGCACCCACTGTCATATGTCGCTGAGGTGTTACCTATGGATGAAATGCATGAACTCTCGATGCACATGTCATTGAAAGTTCCAGCATAATCACCGGTTGTCTGGTATGTTCTAGAATTCGCACTACTTTTGGGGTTGCACATGCAATCTGCTTAGTATTGGTGACTCTCTGCAGGGGGTGGGGTGTGGGAATATGAAAGGGAATCGGGAGGGGGGAAGGGGGAGGTAGAAGGATATGTCAGTTGGAAGGGTGTCTATAAATCCGTGACACTAGCGAGCCACTTTGGGTGTCGCAATGATAGATTGGTTAAACTTAGTCTAACTCCTGCAACAATGTACTGCACTGAGATATTTTGCCACAACACTGACATTCTCCCGAGACGGTGCCTCACAGATATCAGTGCATAACCAAAATGGGCAGCGATGCCTGCTGAGGGGCTCTTTAGAGGGACGCTAACGATATATCAGTTTAGATCAATATATTGCACTCTGGGAACTTTAATAACAATAATTTCATCATCGTAGGTTTATTAATACAGGAAAAATTAAGGTGAGGGTTTAATTTGTAAAGTTTGTGCTAATATCTGCACTCAAAGTCACAAATTTCAAAGTTTTTTTTTATATTTTGTCAACTTTGACTCAACGAAATATCCTGAAACTTGTTGTGTTAAGTCCTGCTTTCCTCACAGGACATCATACTTGATTTTTACAAATTAGGAATTATGTAGGCCCTAGCAGATGCCATAAAAATATATGACACCACTGTGATTGATGCAGAAATTTCAAGGCAACGTTATAACTGATGTCCTTTTGCATGCTTTCCCACTTGCAGAGCGCCTTTTCACGGTGAATGTAATAACTTTGGTATTGTGAAAGAGCAATTTACTAATACGAGAAAACCATTTCGCCCTTCAGTGTCTTTTTAATAAACTGTGCATGTGCCTGCGTGGTAATGCAGTCATTGCTTTTGTGCACAGACCCGCCAGGTGGCTTGGAAGCAGAGCCAACGTCACCACGTTCTATTCGCTTGTCCTGGAAGCCACCAAACTCCATTCACAACATTACCTACTACACTGTTCGGTACAGTGCTGTTCATCCCCAAAACAACATGAACTCTTCTGTGGTACATTACGTTAGAAGGTAAGCTTCTAGTGGCCTCAAACTTTGACCTGTCCTGTGCTATGAAATTAGTGAGTGCAGGAGATCAGTTTAGTGTTATAGTAATCTCTAAGTTTTCCTTATGCACTCGTGTTTTTATATTCTAATAAGCAGATGTGGTATCTCTGACACTTCAGTGTTGCGTGAATGCAATAACATCCATTTCTTATTCCTCGTTTCCTTCATTCACCTCCTCACAATTCAAGCACGACACCGGAGGTCGTTGTGAAGGACCTGCAGCCGTACACACTGTATGGCTTCGCCGTAAGATCCCACGAGGCTGACAACCGCCCTGGCCATTTCAGTCAGCTCATCGAATGTAGGACAAGCGAGGACAGTAAGAACACATCCTCTAGTTCTCAAGTTTGGTTTTGCCTAATCACGTGCCTTGAGCCATTTTTGAACACTTGAACTGTCTTGAGGATCAGAGGCATAGCCAGAAGTTTATTTGGAAAATGGGATTGGGGTTGGTCTCTCCTAATGGCCTTCTCTCTCAAGGCGAAACGGTGAAAGGTTTTGTTCGAGGACAGCCTTGATGGTGTGTAGATTTCACCAACACACTTGTAGCTTTTTCGAGCAAACTGAGAGAACTACTGTACAGCAAAGTCTATGATAAGTATGACATGGCTGGCTAAAGAAGCTAGGATTTAAGAAAAATAATAAGAGTTATAGGAAGCATGTTTGCACAATTCAGCAATTAAATGCTTAAACAATGAAGAGAAGCTGCAAAGCAAATAACTGTTTGAATTACTGCAGAAATGTACGCACATCCTAAATTCTGGTGGTGATAAAAAAAAAAGTAGCTAACAAGAGGGGTCTGAATGAGATTAAAATTGAAACCATCAAAAAATGTGCAGTCGGTTAGCTCAGTTTTTGTCTGGGACACATAACCTGTGGACTATTAGAGTAACAGAGTAGACACCAAAGAGAAGATTGTATGGAGTAATGAGAATAAAAATAAGTGAGTGTGGGATTGTAGCAAGCCTTGTGCAGGGTTAGACGTTGCAGAAGAAGGCTTCTTCTGGAAGTAAATTAGTTATCCAATGATTGGGACTCTGATGACTCTCAAAATAGGTTTGCTACTTTATTATACAATTTGTGTTTCCCATTTTGCCTTACCAGAACCGACCGTGCCCCGCGACGTCACTTGGGCACCTGTAGACCTTGGCTCCATAAGGCTCAACTGGATGGCGCCCGAGTTCCCCAATGGCATCATTCAGGCCTACCACATCTTCTACAATGCCAATGTGGTTGACACAACGCAGGTTGACAAGTGGAAGAATAAGCAGGAGCCAGGTCAGAGTTCTAATGCTTTTATTCCAAGCATATATTTACTGAGATGTTGTTACTTCTTCCTGAAGCATTGCAGTGCTTTTTGTCTTTGCTGTGCCAGCTTTTGCATCCTAGTCAGCGATGTTAGGTCAAACGTGGAATGCAGTAAAGTGAATGACAGTGGCTAGCCCCTTGACATGCTTTTGCCTGTTCAAATGGCCTCTGAACTGCTTCGAACATATTTTGTTCACATTTTAAGGAAGCATGCTGTGAGGGTTGCTCCACTTGGAAAGTCATTCAAGCCTCATGGCACATGCACATCTTGTTGATTAGTCACAGTTAGCCTTAATATCTGCCAAGTGAAAGATGGCATATGCTCATGCGAGGTGGTGTAGGCGCGGTGGTGCAGCAGCATTTTGCTATAGACATAGAGTTTCTTATAAATACACTGGAGAAACTCTGGTGCTAGTACATCTATGGAAGCTCCAATGCACGGTGAGTCGGCGAGCGTGATAAGGATGGTTGGTACACAAATTTGTTTAAAGGGATCAACTACAGATTTTTTTTTTTTTTTCGGATCCTATTTTTTTCCGGCACGATCGTAAGCTTACCCTTCGCAGTGTTCCCTGCTGCAGTAGTTACTCTAAACAGCATGTAGTTATTTAATAAGCTGTATTTTTCAATATGAAAGGCTCTGAACACCAATGTGCTTTTTTGTCCAGCAACGCTGACAATTGATAGCGATGCCGGTAGCCCTTCTAGTGACTTGTGCATGCTGTCATTGTTTTGCTTCTGAAGGTGCTCCTGTAACTATGCTTAACCACGTTTATTCAGAGTTTTAGAACTACAGTCGCCGACCTATTTTTCGGACTCTGGAAATTCAGACTTATTGGATACTTCGGACTTCAGTAATACACCGTTGGGGTTCCCGTAGGGCTAATGCATTTTTCTGACTGATTTTTTTGACAAATTCACCCCCGAAAGTTGAATTTTTCAGACTAAATCGCTTGTTTCGAGCTGCGCTATGAACCTGTAAAAACGCCGCCTTGTTAAGTTTTTTGCCGGCTTGACCAAACTTTGTGACTTATTTTTAAAATGACTTTCCTGCCTCTGAGAAAGGAAAGCGAATGTCATATTTCAAGTTTTGGTAGCTGAGTTGCATGGGACTATTTTTCCGTCATCGGTGAGCACAGTGGTCAGCACTACCGTCATCTACACTGTATGGGGAGAAGGCGAAGTAAAGATTCTTTATTTTTCGCAGCAGTTGCTGCTTGCCAGCTTGTTCCAGTCACCATTTAGCACGTGTTTTGCCGGGTCATATCAAGACATTGTGTGTGCTTCGTGGTGGCTATCTGCATCATCTAATTTTGTGTGCTCGAGCTCGATGCCATGGCTCCGCCATCTGTACCATTGCGAGAGCCAGGTGGTGCGAAAAAACGTGGGAACTATGCAGCCATGACGTTGGAGAAGAAAGCTGCAATTACAGTCAAACCTCGTTAGTGCGTACCTGCTTTAAGCATACTAACGGTTAAAACGTAGTTGCGACGAATCCCCGACTGAGTCTCATAGAGAATTATGCATTCGCGGACCGCTTAAGCCGTAGTGTTCAGCCTATGCCCTCCGGTTAGTGCGTACCGCGATAAAATTTTGCACAACAAAATTTTACGGCTCCGCTGAACTTGCAGACGCCACGATGTGCTGTGAACGGTTTTCTGTCATGTTGATAAGAGCGGAGATCAGCCAATAAGTTATTACGAGTTCTGCGCGATTGCAGCGATGGCGCTGCGAGTAACCATCGGGGAAAAAAAATGAAGGCGAGGTGGCGACCACCGACAAATGCGCCGGTATGGCTTATCGCCGGCGAGAAGCTTTATCACAGTAAGCATCCGCAGTTACATCCTCAGGCACGCGTGTGGCGTAGCGTCACTTTAGGCCTACTGCACGCTTTTAGTGGGTGGCTACCTGAACGCGCTGGGCCGCCGATAGCTACCGCTTCGTCTTGCGGGACCGTGTTCAAGCGCACACGACTTTACAGAAATTCAAGCACCTTGCTGTCACAGAGTTTAGCGTAGTGGATCGCAGGCACCGAGAAACCTTGCTGTATTATGCCAACACGCCCACCGTGTTGGTTGTAATGTCACCAGGAGAAAGTGTAGATGTGAGCACCAACAAGAACCTGTTTGTCTGCCTGCAGGTACGCACACTTCCTACCTTCACCTTTTTGCATGGCGAGGAGGAACCCTCGGCCAGGAAGAGGGATAAGCCGGCAAGCGAAGTGTAGCGAAGGAAAGAGTAAAATGAGCGAGGGCCACATTAACACATTTCAGTCTGACAGGCAATGTCGTACTAGGAACCCCCTGGCCCCTACATCAGTCCTGGAAGTTTCTCTTTTCATTCATTGTTGCATGAATAACACTTTATTTATTGCTTAGTGATTTTTTTCAATCAGTTACCAGTGGACCAACTCTGAAAAAAAATGCCTTAATTGTAAGGGCAATTTTTCTTTTTTGCAGGAACGCAACTGACATCTATACTGAATGGATTGTCCATCAACACAGTGTACTCGTTGCGCATGCAAGCCCAGACCACAGTTGGCCTTGGTCCCCTGACCCAAGTCATCAAGTTTGTCATCAGTGTGCCATCACGTAGTACCATCTCTCCTCACCCTCAAGGTCAGCTTCATAATTTGCAACTTTGAGTAGCTTTATTGGCATTGCAGTGCAAAATGCACTTAGTGAGTGCAAATGCTGAAATGCGTTGCTAGTGCTACTAAGCAGATACAATCGAACCTCAATATGGTGATCATAGATGTTACAAATTCTCAGGTATATAATGCAGCAAATGTAAACGTTCCTTGTCAGCAGTGTTATGTAACGAACTTGAATATTTTCCGGTTATTCTTAGAATTGCCAGATATACCTGCAGATGCACCGAAAAGGGGTGTCTTTCACACTGCTTAAAATATTGGCAGCGTAAAAATTAAGCGAAGGGGCACAGACAAGAACAGGCAAGGAGACACACATAACTTGTCTGTGTTCTTGCTTCATTCTCTGCATCTTTTCCATGCTGTCGATATTTTGTGCAATGTAGTACAGTCGATCCCAGGTAGATTGAACTAGGATATATGGAATATTCGCTGTTTCGAGCGTATAATGAATCCTTTTGAAGTTACCACACAAAAGTATGGGACCGTTGCCCACATATATTGAACTCCCGCAGAGAGTAACATTTATATATCGAACACTGTGCCATGCCAAAGCCCAGAAAGTGCATTTATTCCGACAAAGATTGATCAATTTTATGCCGTGTTCTCACAAGTTCGGATCCCTCCTTCCGGCCGGCTGACGAAGACGTGGTGTAATTCGTTGGTTGCGCACAGGTCGCCCACCGTTAGCGAGTGCACCGGCACGTGATGCATGAACACAGGTCGTAATGCATGGACACAGTTTTTTTAGAGGGGTCCGTGTTGCCGAGGGCACCAAAATCACATAAATGGGAAGTGGCTGTGTGGCCTTGTCACAATGTGTGCATTCCCTTCCATGTTTGTTTGTTTGCACACGATGGTATGCGGGCCCGAAAGCATGGTCTTTGAAATCCGCAACTTTGTGACGTATTTCCGCTGTTTTTGGTCATAGAATGCACATCTTGGAGGCTACGCTTTTCTTGCTTTTTGCTTGCTGCTACAAAGCCTCTAGTGCCACTGCAAAGATACCAACGGTAGAGTACACGGTCGTTTGTTGTTTGTTAACAGCATTGTAACTTTTGGCTTGTGTACTTTAGTAGTTCGTGCTTCGTTACTGCTTAATCTTTCGTCTGGAGTCGGACTAGACATTTTGTCGCCCGCTGTGATAACAGCGGTGGCTGGTGCTTAAAACGATGGCAAGTATAGCACTGTCATATCACTTGCGTGATATCACTTGATAGCACTGTCATATCACTTGCTCAAATCACTTTGCGTTTTTAAATCCAAACTAAAGACTTTCTTGTTAGGCCCTTCTGTTTGATTGAATTGTAACTGTATTATCATGTCTTTTTTTGTTGTGGTATTCATATCCACATTTTTTTTTTTAATAGATTGACGATGTATTCCTTGTTTTTTAGTGTTCCTGATTATTATTCTAATGGTTTTTTTTTTGTTTTCTTTTGTTTTTTTCATCTTTCTCTTTTTTATGCTGTGTTTATTTGCTGGCAATGTATTTCAGTGTTGCTTGATGATTACTTTTTTTTTTTTTTTTTTCATCATGGGAGGTCCCGCCTGCGGTTCTTACCTTGGGACCTCCCAGTGAATCTGTACCCGTGCACTTTTCCATGTTCACGCTTGATGATGATGAATAAAACTTAGTCATACAGTTTCCTCGTTGGCTTTGGTGACAGGTGACGAATTGGACTGCGTAAACTTAGCTGACAACGGCGTATGTTGCCTCAGTGAGTTTTGCTACTGTTTAGCGTTTCCGGGCACCACCTCCAAAGGGAGTACAGAAAGCGAGTTCAGTGCAGTTGATGCTGATATCATGGTATCAGTTCAGCAGTTCGACTCCAGATGGAAGATTCAGCAGTAACGAAGCACAAGCTACTGATGTGCACAAGCTGAAAGTGACAACAAAAGTGGGCTCGCGCAATTATAAAGGTGCTAACAACACCACTAAACATTTTACCGCGCTACAGAGCTTGCATTGGCGCTCACTTGGTCAATGACCGCTGTTGTGACTGAAGATGCTGAATTTGCTTATTTTGATTGATTGATTGATTGATTGATTGATCGATTGATTGATTGATATGTGGGGTTCGTCCCACAACCACCATATGATTATGAGACATGCTATAGTGAAGAGCTCCGGAAATTTTGACCACCTGTGGTTCTTATGTGCACCCAAATCTGAGCACACGGGCCTACAGCATTTTCTCCTCCATCGAAAATGCAGCCGAGTACCGAAATTTGCTTATTTTCAAAGCTTCAATTCTCAATAATGAGTATGACTTGATGAACTTGACGGCGTTCGAGAGGCAAGACAAGTCTATAAACTATTTTCACATAAAATAAAGTGCGGCAACTTGCAGAAGTAGTTGTCACCTTTTTTTTTTTTTTTTTGCACTCTGTGAGCTAGTCATCATGTTAACGCTTATTACGATTTCAGAAAGCCGTCTCGAGAGTTGCAATGCGTTAATATAAGCCTTAAGTACGGATATCTTTTATTTTGAATTATCGATATATTGAACTATTTTGCTATCTCCTTAAGTGTGATATATTTGGGATCGACTGTACCAACTTACCAAAGCGTTGCTCATAATAAATTCTTTGACACAAGATTAATTGTCTGGCTTCCTTACGTTTCCTTTCCTGAAAACTTATCTCTCTGCTTCCCAGTCATGAACGCTATCTCACGATGATTAGTGATTATATGAGCACTTCCATACCGCATTGTCATAGCTTTGGTTGAGAAGGGGGGAAAAGTGAAAGTTGCTTCTAATTCTTCTCCTTTTCGTGATCTCAATGCAGCTGCAGGCCAGGAAGTAAATGACCCATCTCTTGGAATACTGCTGGGCGTACTGGCGGGCCTGTTGTGCATGGCTGCATGCGCAATCATCATACTCTACAAGAATAGGTAAGTGCTACTAGCGTCCTGCTCAATATCAAGTATGCTTTCAGTTTCTTCTCTGATTGGTGGCTCCGCTTACGCAAGCTTCGGAAGCGAATGAGCCGGGTGACCATGAAGCAGACAAGATGCAACAGTGTGACACAACCGATGAAAGTGCTCAAATTTATGTAGTTGCGTGGTCTGTTCGTGAAAGGAGGAAGGAACGAACGTTCAGACATTCTTCTGCTTCAATTAGCAGTGTTTACCTGATTCTAACATGCTCGCAGGTCTAACGCGTGCCCAATTTTCGGACACAGATTAGCTACATGCCTCGAGCCCTGGCAATAAAAGTATTTCGCTACTGAGTGTTCTGGTCTATAAAAGTGTGCTCCTTCAGTCGAGATAGAATTGACGAAAAATTTTTAACTAATCGAAGCTAAATTGACGGAAGGGTGAGGTGCCAGGTGATGTACTAGGGATTATAGTCATTGACTACATTAGCGTCCATGGGACTCCCGTTTCACACCCCTGAAACGAAGTGAACGCGCTGTTTTCTTTTATTGCTTGGTGGCTGCTGAGCTGATTTTCGTTATGTGGTGCTTTTTTCATCTGCTCAATGGCCATGATATTAAGGGGCAAGTCAGACATGTAGGCTTGTGCAAATATTAAGTTTCAAGTTCGAAGGAAATTCAAAGCAAATAGTGATTTGGTGTAGTGATTAAAATCGAAATAGAATGAGCTATATTGCATACATATTATTGAGAAAAGTGAGCTCATTTGTCATGACCTGACTTACATGATAGATATTTAAAAAATGAAACAAGGCCTGTGTTAATGCCATTCTTTTCGCTTTAAGTGGAAACAACTTTAAATAGTAGCAGTATTTGACATTTGGTAGAATGCAAGTGATAACCTGTAAAATATGTTATGTTTCAAAATTTACTATACTTTAAGCATATAAGCGAACATAACAGGCTTCTAAACTTTAAAAAATTATGAATCGATGTGAAGGTAATATGCTCATTTAGCCGTGAAGTGTGGCTTTGCGGCAGTGCGGATTTTTCATGGATAGGTGTTTTCATGGCTTAGCACCCTTTTACTGCAGTGAAACCACTTTTACTAAAGTGCAACAATAAATCAATTTGGATAGATAAATTTTACTTTGCAAACTCTAATGTAAATTCTGCCATCATTGTTCTGATAATAGAGCAGAAAGTCATGGTCTGTAACGTTTTTAAATTTTTCACCAAAATCTCTGCTTGTGATGCCACAAAATTCAACATGTATCTTTTCTATTTTGGTGAAACTGATTGAATGATATTTTCTGAAACTTTCTATGTCTCTGGCCCCGTCGAAGGACAATGTACTTCATTGTTACAGTTTGGAACTATGTAAACCCCTAGGAGAAACCATCATAATCTGTAAGTTGGTGATTGGCGCGAGAAATTCAATATGGTATCACCATTTGCACATTTCCTTGCTTACCAAACAACCACTCATGGCAAGAGTGGTACTTTTGGTATTGAGAAAGGCATATATACATCCCTGAAGAAAAGAAAAAGATTTATTTTCAATGTCTCTTTTTTTTTTTGAAGGGTGTTTTCGTCTAAAACAGCTAACTTTGGCTACTTGTGGTTGATGTGAAGGCGTGTAATTACTTGAAGTATCACCTGGAAGCATGGAAAATTTCAAGGTGGGGGGGGGGGGGGGGTCAGAATCTTTGCTACCCCTCTCTAGTTACGACCCTGATGAGTAGCATTGCGAGGCCCATCGGTGTACATTAGGGTGAACCAGCTAAGAGGGAGCACAGACAGTGACGGAGGAATCGAAATTCAAGAAGAAAAGTGCACCTCAAATCTCAATAAAATGAACCCAGATATGATGAAGTATGGCTTGTGAAAAAGTGCATAAAGAATACTGTTGCAATTAATATAGTGTTAGAAATATACTTTTATAATAAATTTTCAGTTATAACAAACTTATTTCCGTGTATGATGCAACTTCGTTATAAAAATTCAGAGTGTGTTATGGGAAGCCTGTATTCTCCAGAGGATTTGTTTAGGGTCAATTAGCATGGTGCAACACAGGTGATATCCGCACTCAGGTTCTTTGCATACAGGATTTTTTTGTTCTTTCTTTTTGTTGTGGCGGTACACAATGTATTATTCAATAGACATAAAAGCATGATTGACTTTCCCATTTCATGTTCACAGCAAGTGCGGCTGTTCTGGTAGCAGCGTGGAGCAGCACGGACCATCCACTGGCAGATCGTGCTTTGCAGCATTTTTCGGTCAGTGCAAGATGCCAGCCCCAGCTCGCGAGCTTGAAGTGCTCTCAGTTACTTCTCCAAGTCCTGGAAACCACCTTGACACAAAGGTAAGTGGTTCGAGCTCGGGTATCAGTTGTTAGCAGCCATAGGTTGCTTACAAAGGTGCTGACAGAGTTTTTGTTTGCCATTTTCTTCTTATGTGCTGTCCTCATAACTGTAGTTCTTGAATATATCTAACTTCAGTGTAGCGATACTTAATTATGTCAAACAGGGAAGGATGACAAATTATTTCAATATATCAGTAATCTGAAATACAATACCATATATTTCTATATAAACTTATTGGGAAGTCTAAGCCATGCCGAGTTTTCCTGCTGTATCAAAGCACACAACTTTGCTTGTTGCTAATTTTTCATCCACACCTTTTTGTGGAGCATGTATATCAGGCCAGGGGTCCTTTATCGCTCAGGTGCAGTATGTTGGTTTTATTTTTTATAAGTAGTTATCAGTTATCAGGCTGTATGTAGAAACTGCATTGTGACTACTACTAGTTTAGTAATAAATATTGCATGGGGAATAATTTTATACAGTATGCAAGTTCAAGTACCATATGAATGTAAATGTGTAAAAGCTGAATTTTCTGTTCCTCAATGGATCGGGATTCTGTAGTTCGACAATAGCAGTATGAATAGCTTTGATCAAAGATTTATGGCCTCTTCGCTTGTATACTCTTTTTGTGCACAGGGAGGCTACCCAGCAACGCAATGTAATGGCAAAACAAACGGGCATGCCAGAGGGAAGCAACCAAATGGCACAGCACCAAACGGGCATGTGGGCAATGGCAGTGCCGTTTGCTTTATGAAACCTTCAAGTTCGGTGAGTGTTGGACTCATGCGCAAGTCTCGGCTGCTGTTTTATTGTGTGTTACGTCTGTGTATCTCGTGACTAAGTTTTCGAGAAAAAAAGCTTCCTTTTGGCCATTCCTCGAGCTATATTTCATTTAGCATTTCGGATTGCATTTCAGAAAATTTTTTCGATATAGTGTGTGAACCTTAAAAATGGCAACATGATAGTGACACAAAGTTTGGGACCCTTCGTTTTTTCTTTTGTTCCGTTCCGTAGTGTTTGCACAGGGAGGACTAGCCATTGGTGACTGATTTTAAAAAGGAAAACGCTGCCCTTCAATTCATTCTCTTTGTTTAGTGTCTAGACTAACTCGAGTGTAGACTTGTTGCCTCACCTTAGTGAACCTTTTAGGTTAGCAAGGCTGAATCGCACTGATAGCTTGGACTCTAAATTTGTGCCACAAACGTCATGCTCCCATCTCTGCAGCAAAAGCAAAGGGTTGACAACGACCCAGAGTCTCGGCTCCCGTTGCCACGCAGCCAACACCGATATAATGCTCACGACTACTCCGTGCAAGAAGACGGGGACGCGTGGGACCCAGAGGCTGTGCCTGCGCCTACGCCGCTCCTTGCGGACGACTCCGTCGCCAGCAGAACGTGGAAGGTTACCGACAACTCTACAGCCGCCGAGGACGGCACGATCGACGTGACGGTCTGCTCGGCCGACGACCGGAGTGCCTCCTCGCATCTTCTGCGCAGTGGACCTTCGGAACAGACCAGTGTGACATTGCACAATGCGGAGGAGACCAAAAACCTTGTGGGGCCCATCTAGCAGAACTCATGGGGGCCTACTGTTTGCAGGGAAAATAGAAAGGAATTTGAGAGATGGACAAAGCTCAGCGCTACCTCTGTGCAGGTTCCTTGCCAACAGTGTCGTGTGCTGGCCATATGTCACTTAAATGTCACCGAAATTTTGGTGTGAGCCAACAAACTATGGAGGAAAAAAAAGGGAACGGCGGGTAGGCGTGAAAAATGACATTGGAGCTCGTGCGTTAAGAAAGAGGCTCTGTGCCTTGTTAGTGTACATTGTAAAAAAAAAAAAAACTTTTTATTTCTGTCGCTTAATCAAACAGCCTCAAGGTGTGGGCCCATTGGCCAGCAGATGCTAGTCAGGAGTGCATGCCAAACTTGGCCGTTGTCCAAGATCCACGTTATCATATGATGGCACGACATTGTGCGCAAGAAACCTTGGTCAGTAGCTGGGTCGTCGATTTGACTTTCCAGATGTTCTGCGACTAGTGCAGACCCTCGCAGTCGCTTGAGTCAAAGCATGTTTTGCTGTTTGACCCGACACATCATGGCAAGGCACTACAGTATTGCTCGTTCCGAGCATATGTTACCGTAGCAGTACAAACATGACCGAATGGGGTATTGGCAGTGTTGATGCTGGTGGCAACGTGTAGCTAGGCACTTCTTGCTTATTTGCTGGGTCTTGGAGTGATGTCTCTACTTGTCGTTAAGGTCACATGGTGTAATTGAAAACAAGATTTACCTAGTTTTCAGTTGACCGCTTTTCCGTCCTGGAGCACAAATGTTTAAGAGTCAGGGGTGCTCTGTGTGGAAAAGGAACTGAAGCTTTATGCTCGCGTGTGTTTCTCTTCATTACTTCATCAAAAAAGTGAAGGAGGGGATTGTTTTGTTCAGTGTCACGAAAAAAAATGCCTCATAGCATCTTCATTGTCAACAGTGCCCCTGGTTGCAGCTTGCCTGATGACAGCAGTGTAATTTCTGATGTGGTGACAAACTTGAAAAGCTTCCATGCCACTGGTGACATGCTAAAAAGACGACGCTTGCAGCGGAAGCAGCTTCGTGGCCAAAAGTGGCAGGAGTTGCAACGGGGAATCTCATCTTTCGGTATACTCCACGCTCAGGTTACTCAGCTAAGAAACCTCTACACATGCTCAGTAAAGAAAAAAAAAAGCACCAGTGTTGATCATAAATAGGAAACAGTCGTACAAGAAAAAAGAAAATCTCTGGACACATAAAGCAACAAAAGAAGCGGGTATTTTTTTGTTTACTGTTTCCATTTTTTATACACATATATTTATACAAAGGCTTCACGCCATTTCCATTGTGTCCATACAAATGGCAGGCAGAATGCTGATGCTGCTATTTTCTTTTGGCTCTATTGCTCTCCACTGCTGAATTGGCATTTTATTGACAGGGGAAGTTGCTGGGTGAAAAAGAAATATTGCAAACAAAAGCACTTCACTTGCCAAATTTGTGCCTGACACAGAAACGTACGGGCTAACATCTCTCAGGGCACCGACACCACTTTCACGTTTTGTACCAACACCCTCAGATTGCCCCTTTAATCGTGCATGATAACACCACATAGCAACCACAAAAAAATGTGGGGTTTAGGGGGAGGGTCGTGTATAGTCCCAGGGCAGCTGACTTCGATTCATCACTTTCTGGTGATATATTAATTACTTTTTGTGAATTGTCACCTGGTCGTAGCAAAGGCACCTGGAAATGTTAGGTAAAAAAAGCCTTTAAGTAACACCTGCATAATGCTTGCAATGAATGTTTGCACCTTCAAGTTGCTTTTCTTACACACCTTTGCACATTTTGCCATTCTGTCTACCTACAGCTAGCAAAAGTAGCAATTCTGAACTGGAAGCCGCAATTTGGAAATACCGTTTCACCTCCTTTTTCATTTGCTACTTTTGGCGATGCATTTATTCTTGCCATGACAAGCCCGATGTCCTGCTTGAATGACCAGCATCATTGCATTAATATGCCCACTAAAGACGTGCACAATTCTTTTTTTTCAATCACGCACACCTCCATTACCTCAGCCAATCAACACAAGAAACTTATTTCTGCCAAATGTGATCGATCGAAAACACAACCATCGCTCCTTCAAAGAGGTGCACAGTTGTCATTTATTTTTCTTTACTTATATTTCTCAAGTTTTCACCCCCCCCCCCCGCCCCCAGCACAAATCAACCAGCTTGTCATTAGGAGTGAAGAGATGAAGCTAAGAATCTCTCTAGAGAGATGGGTTTTCTTTTAGCACACATACAAGAGGAACCAGCTGTCTGTACATGTAAACCTTTTTGCTTTTGTGCTGCTTTTTACAAAGCATTTAAGTCTTGAAAGAGAGAGAAGTTTGTGGGAACGACCCTTCCCTTGGCACACACACACGCACCCCCTCACACAGACAAACCAAAGTGCTAAAACATAACCTGTGCGCACACTCACAAAAAAAGCACTTGTTGAGCGGAACAAAGAGCTGCCCTTCTTTCACCTCACCACCCCTCACTAGGGGACTCGCACGAACCGAGTCCTCGCTAAGGTACAAAGTACTGCATTGTCCCAGTACGCCAAAGAGATGGCTACTCGTCATGTGCTACACACACTGCCGCCAACAGGCAGCCTATGGTACTTCCTGTTTTGTTCCATTACCATAGCATGTTATGTTCAAAAAGAGAAACAGTATATATTTCGCGTGTACGTGCATTGTGTTTTTTCTTTACAAACAAATTTTAATCGTGAAGTATCCTTAGCACGTGCAGTGGGCTCCAGCATTTACAGTCCCTCGCAATGGTTCAAAGGCGGGTGCTTTCCACTGCTGCACTCGAAAGCGCAGGTTCAGTTTTTTTGCCGCGAGAGCTGGGGGCGGGCTGAGTGCAGCTATCGCGGAACTCTCATTAGTGCGTTAAATTGCTTCGTGCAGTGTCGTTAGGACAAATGAATCTGGCAATCTTAACGGTACCCTGTTACCTGTGTTGTGCCCTGAGGCTGAAAAGTGACACGATATTACATTAATATTAATTTGCGGATATTTCAAGAAAACTTCGTAGCAATGAATGCAATGCGTCTCGGACATGTAATTGCTGCTATTGAGTTTTACTCATAACTAAGGTTCAGGGGGAAATCTCGGCATTAGAGAAGACAAAAACAACACTTAAAGTTTCAAAGAAAAAGACCGTGTTCTAATGAGGCTTCACTTTGCCATAGGATAGCAGGTTATTTTCACAATGGCAAAATCCCCCTCCCCTTTTTTCATTGTTTATCTTTTTTTTTTTCTCTCTCAATTCATATTTAGCTGAAATGAAAAGAGCAAAAGAAGGGTCATAGGTGTGCAACGACAGTGTATATAATTACGTGTACCTTTTCACAATGCTCAAGACGACTCCCACCATCATGTCATGCATGCCACATCATCTCGTGTTCATGATGTCACTGCTCATAAAACCGCTAATGTACAGCTTTTCTTCGTCATCACACATTTAAGGTGCCAACTGCCTCGCTTATCACTTAGCGAAAGAGACACATGTAGTCATTTGGAAAGGAGAAAAAAAAAAGGAAAACACGTTTCCCTTTCTCATTTTTCAAAGACGTGTTAGCCACTGTTTCTGTGTTATTTGCTTCCTGTAGATGGCAAGCAACGTCGCAGGTTCGGAAGAGCAAAAGAGGGAGGAAAAAACAGTTGCTGAAAAAAGCGAAAAAAAAAAGGGGGGGGGGCAGAATTTCTTTTTCTTTTTTTCTGCTTGACGTTTTGTCATCAGCCTTCCTTGCAAGCTCTTGTTCAGGATTCACAGGGGAGATGACACCAAGTGCTGGGAGACAAAATATATATTGCAGGAGAGCGTGTTGCCTTTGTTGTCACACCCCTCATTTTTCGCGTTTTTTCACAGATTGTCCATTCCAGCAAAGAAATAATAATAAAGATATATTTTACATTAAGGTACTAGCTTAAAAAGAAAATCTCAGGTGCTTTTGACGCGTGGAACTCTTAAATGAATAGGCCGCACGCTGCCAAACAGCTCGCGGTGACCGGAAATAAGAAAAACAAAAAGACGAAGTTTGCGATGTGTTTGAGCAGAAGCCTCGCGTATCTTTCAGAGGCGATAAAAAAATGTGAAACAAAACGTTGATATGTTTCTCGCATGCAATATGTGGCAGCTTGAAATGGTTCACGAATGTGGCGACGTAGAACGACGGTGATAACAAGCATGCACGGACGACGAGACAAATGGGCGTGATTGTACAAAAAACGACGAAAAAAGCCACAGGACAGGTGAACAGTTGGTCTCGAGTGCGTGTTGATTTTCCACAATCAGACTTATTGTTGTCCACTTGTTTCCTGTGCCTTACAGTGTCAAGAGTCTTCTGTAAGATGCAGTGTCAAAAAAAGGGGAGGGGGATGGGGTAGACTTGATAGGAGGCTCTCATAAATGCAAAGCATGCTTTATTTGGAGAGCTGTGTTTCGAGCCCAATGCCGCACTGGCGTCGCTTAACTTGGACCTGAAAATTGGGCCTTGCATTTGCAGTCGTAGAGCCTTGTGGGCAGCGATACTGGTGGGGGGGAAAAAAGTGACAAAAAAAAAACTGTAGCAGGGTACTTAAGGATGCAAGACGTAGCGCTGTTAAAGTCGGGTGTCTTCTTCTTTTATTTGTCAATGACAGTCACGTACTGCCTTTTTCTTTGACCAGAGATTAATGAAATATACTTCTCTCTCTTCTTGAGGGCTGTACTTTTGTTGGATGCTTACTTTTTATCCCTTAAGTAGACAGGTTCACTCTGCACATGTTAATAGCTTTTTTTCATTGTACTCATTTGTTGGCATTTTCTGCAGGGTGGACACATGGCTTCATAGGAGTATCAGTTGAATCAGTCTTTTTTTTTTTACATGTGTTGTTCGTGAGTGTATGTCCACTGAGTATGTGCTTTCTTTTTTTTTTTTGAGCCAGCTATTTTTTCAATCTTATCTACCTCAATTTGTTTTATACCTTTGTGTATGTGTAGATTACATCACGTTATTTTTTGTCACTTTTATTCATTGTTCAACGTATGGCATAGCAGGGGCCGTTTCTCAGGGAAATATGTAAGAACAGGAGATGCCGGAGAATAGGGGAGAGAGAGAAAGAAAGTGTTGAAAGAGAGAAAAAAAGAAATCGTCAAGCCCTGTGGCTAATGCCGTTTCACTTGTGTAATGTTATGATAAGCGTTGTTTGTTTCATCACCTCTTTTTTTTACACTTTCCTTTTTCTCTTTCGTGACGTGTGTCTGACGGCACGTTAGTAACGCAGAGGTGGACCATGGTGTTGTGTTATTTCGAAACTTGTTTAAAGAAAAACGTGTATGTTGTATCCGCTTATTGAGCCATTTTTCGTGCATTTAGTGAGCTCACTTTTCTACTTCAAACACTTGTTTCATAGAGCCTTATTTTTCTTCTTTTTGTTGTCCTTGTGAATAAGTTGGCGTTAGTTCCTCATAGTAGAAAAGAAGGAGGAAGTCGTGTACAGGTCGCGATACTCGGGCATGTTTCGGCGTGCGATGCCACGCAACAGCGTTGGCCGCACTGGATGATGGTCTCCGAGGTTTGACCCATGGTGTTGCATATATCCTTGCTGCATGTATATTTTAAGGCATACATGCACAATGACCTCTGTGAGGAGTTTGGGAAAAAGTGCATTTTTGAGAGTCAATGAAAGGCTACTCCCACAGCAGAATGGCAGAGCAGTAGTGTGCATTAAAAGGAGCAACAGATGTGTGCTGTATATAGCTGCATGTGTCAATTACAGTCTTTTGTTTTTATGACCCCCTAATTTGTACTGTTGTGTGTCGAGCTTAGAAGCATAACAGTGTTGTCTAGAGTGCCCAGAGAAGGCACCCCCGTGCCCAGCAGGTAGCTGTGTCTTGGTGCAATGCTAGGCATTGGTCACCGTTTTTCTTGTTGAACAATTCTACCACCCATTAATCATGTTATGTGTACAAAAATGTTGATGTAAGTCTGCACAGTCTCATTGGTACAATCAAAAGCTTGCCATCTTTGTTAGGGGTCGCAAATTCCTCTTTTCATTTTCTTTCCTTCTTGGACTGGGGCAAGGTGATATGGTAGCCGTCTGGATGTCAAGGGATATTTCAAAGAGGGCAGGATAGGTAGCAGCT